AAGGTTAATCAGATAGTGGTTTTACTTAGCTGATGGGTCAAATACAAGCGGGCTACATCACCCAACCTCTTACCTTGCTCCCTTTTATTCATCTGTTTTCGTCAATGGCAGGACTACTCGCTCTGAAGCCAATTCATTGATTGCTCAGTTATAGCTTTGATGTATTTTGCACGTAATCTCAGTTTTGGTCAGTACCATATTTAGCACAATGTCATTCTTTAGGCTTTCGAAAGGAGGCGATAGAGCACCTAACTGAGACCTCGCCGGATTTGGCATCCTTCAACTTTAACATCCATCGAGCCTGCCTCCTGGTCTCACAAGACTACATTCGTAACTTGGAAGCCGCCGTTACGGACAACGCGAGTAATTCACTTCTCGAGGCAAGGCGGAATTACACGAGTGCAGTGAAACTCTTGGCTGCAAACCTCATTTCTAGCAACCACCTATATGAGGGTGTGGAGATGCTCTGCATGTTGGGCATGCATTTGGAGGCGTGCCGCTATCTGGAAACCTATAATGAATGGGAGACTGCTGTTTGGCTAGCCAAGGTTAAGCTAGTTTTCACTCTCAATTGCTAAGTATTCAATCACCAATCTGGAACCGAGTTTTTCGTCACTTATAGTGCACCTTGAGTAAGGAGGAATGTGATGGCGTAATGAATCGATGGGCCACCTATCTCGCATCTACAGCAAATCGAAAGGTTTGTTTCTCTACTTCCATTCATTTATTGCTGGTTGTCTCATTGTCCTGTCTTTATTATTCGTTTTGTCTTGAGGTCAATTAAACACGGCGACCTTAATGTTTTGATGACCAAAGGCCTTTGTGTACTAGTTTTAGCATTGTTTCTTAACTACGCGCGAATTTAAACGTCATTACTATTCAGTATGGGTACTTTAATGCGGCCAAGCACATGGTCATTATTACGCTGAGAATAACATGACAGAATTAGAGAAGTCAAATTAGAGCTCTGTTAATCCAAATTTTGCACTTCTTGATCTGCTTTTAGGCTCTAGCGATTCTGGTTTTGGTGTACCTTGGACAGCATGATTCAGTTCTCACTCTGCTCAAAAGCCTCCGACAGCATCAATTAGCGGCCAGGTATTTGGAAGCCTGCCTTGAGTGTCACGCGGTAATTCCCGATCGGACGACAGGTACAAATTATCAAACGTTTCCTCCTAACTCTCACACTATTAAAACCCCTTTTCGACACGAACTTCCAAAGACATACAGCTCCAGACAACAGATCGGACATTAGCAGTTAGTGCAGCATCGCTTCATCTGGTGCACTTTACTTATCGATGAATTCATCTAAGTGCAATATTCTGCAAATATTCCTTTTCAGAGGAATTGCATTCGCAAGTGTTTCTTGATTTTGCCACAACACTGACGGATATGGGGCAGCGGGAACCCGCTCTGTACTACGCAGGACTGGCAGGTGATATGGGCGAACCACTGCGCGCTGAAATTGACTTCCTTCTCAGCTGAAACTCAACTTCTGTCAATCAACCCATTACTTTGTGATAAGGCGCCTTGTCTACCCTGAAATGGCTGTCCTTGTGTTGGCTTTACCCCACTATACGGTTATTTGATTTTGTTATAGCTCTATGAATCTACCCTCTTTTATTGCGAGATTCTGCACCACTCGTGCTGGCGCTGTTTGATTCAGTGGTGGAAGCTATATTAGCGACTAAATCGTATTATCGGTAGGAGGTTTGTGCACCATAATCCACCGCCAATTTGCTTAAATGTGTGATATTGTTTGGCAATCTCTTTCACGGCTTCTTTACGGATCAAGTGAATGTTTAAATCTGATAGGGTAGTGGTATTCCACGTTGTAAGGGGGAAGAAAGGGAAGGATTGTCAGAGCTTGGTTCCTCAGAACCACGGATGGGGGGCCACTGTGGGTCTGGGCTCTGGCTCATCGTCGGCAGGCTAGTGTCTGCGACGCCAGGGGCTTCCTGTGTTTTCGTCATTACTTTCGCTAGCAGAAGTAGTAGCTGAACTAGGGTTTTCTGCGAAGTCGAAAAATGCTACTGTGGCGTCCTGAGACTTCCCGCAGGATGGAATAAGGCAGTAAGTGGAGCTGGATGCATGTATTCCAGAGAGGACAAAGCAATTCGACCTAAGGATGGTCCGAAGGCCAGCCTACGTGTACAAAGGCCAGACACGTCCTAAAGCGACCGCCAAACGCCGGGTAGTCGCATAAACACCGCATTGCAGCTACAAGTAAGAAAATATGCGGGAAATGACAAAAAATCATCCGGATTTTGGATGGATATATCGACAGGAACTGGCTAAATGTGCTGGAACTAGGCCACTTCGTAATTTATTGTAGGGACTAGGTTGCCACAAATGCAAGTAATCTGACAGCTAAGGTGTAGCAGTAGCAATTTTTCATCAAGTAAAATTTGTGGCACCAGAAGTCTATAGTGCTGAACTAATAGTGCCACTTTGTGTAAACACACTAACAGTGTTTCCACATTTTAGTTTAACAAAAATGTGGCTTTCGTTGTATGCAATTGTTCATAAATCTTTATCATGACTTTTATCAACTTTTTAATTTCACACTAGACTTATTCAGTTTTGTATACTTAGTGTTTAATACGTCTGTGCACGATTTTGTGCATTTCTTGTCACTACCGGTAGTTTTGAATCTCCATGGTTCGATTATCCCTACCGGTGTACGGCTGGTGCTGTCATGCAGACCTTTGAATGCCATTTAAATTTTTATTGGTACTGTCCTTGTCTTACACCAACCACGTCTATGTACCTTTGTCCCACATGCGAATCTTTGCTTCTAATCTGTATTTTGCTAAATGAATGCACTGGGTACCTATGTGCGTGCTTTCTAGGATTTATTTTTGCATTCACATGCACACATGTATTATATATGGGCCTATAAAACATTGTTAGTGTAATTACAGGCTCGCTGACTAAAACTACGGACCATTCCTATATTTCACTGAACGAGGCTAATGCAACAACGTGATTTGACAAGTGACACTTTTTCCGTTGAACCATTTATCGAGATCGAAAAAGGTGGTCCGCTGATCCTTGGTCCCTCAACTGAGAATGTTGTAGGAACTAAGGGTGTCACTGTTGAAGCTGCTGCATTTGGTGCTGAAAAACGCCTGAATCAAGAAGTTCTTCCAGCTTCCCCGAACGGAGGTGGCGATGGAAAAGAAAACATTGCGAAAGTTTACGAGAAATTTGTCCCCTTTGTATTGGAAGGTATCTGCAATCAGGAAGCCGAAGATGCTTCTGAAAACGTTGGTGAGCGTGAGGCTGCCAGACACTCTAGACAGATCTCGACCTTGAAAAAGTCGTCTGTTCTTTATGATCGAGAAAAGTTTGCTATTCACAGCACGTCACAGCGGCTCGTTCGAGGTATGGTATTCGTTGTTCTAAATTCTTTTGTTCAGAGGCAGAGGTGCATCTTCCTGCTTATAAGCCGAAACAGTATTCAACTTTTGCGGAATTTCGAAAGGCTCTTAAGGGCGATAAATCACAACCGACACCGACTCTCAGGGCTTTTAGGTAAATGAGATAATCAGAACACTGTTGTTTTTGAATTAGTACACGAATGGTCAATAAAGGACGTCATGTGCTACCTGCTTTAAACAGTGATGCCGGTTGTCCTGCTGATGGGCTAACTAGCGCAACGAGACCCGATAGTAATGAAGTTCCAACAAATGACGTCTTGAAACTACCTGCAGAACTTTTGCCTCCTCGACTTCCAAAAGCCAATGATGATGATATCATCGATTTGCGTGAGTTTATAATCTCGTACTGCAATGGGTCGAACGTTTACCGCCGTTTATTATTGTAGTTGAAGACGAAAATTCGGGCACTTCTGCTAAGCACGCTCACCTTAATCGACTGTTATCGAGATTCATTGGCTATGTTAAAACGACAGATTGGGATGCGAAGGCTGATGCGAAGAGGGCTGTAGAATATTCGATTATTACAAAGGCAAGTCTACTCATTTACAATACTTCGACTGACCTGCAAGCAAATGTGCTGTAACGGTAATTGGTCTTCTGTGCTCCTTAACCGTGCTAGCCTTCATGACTTTTTTGCACTAGATCCCAGACGCTCGGACAGGAAGATTCTCTCTTCAGTTGGACAAGGTCGCATACAAGCCAAGCCATTCAAAAGCGATAACTTTCACCGATCGTCGGACATGGGCTAAGCACAGGTTAGAATTGCAGGCGATCATGCGCTCCAAACGACTTAGACATTATGACGAGCGAATGCAACGTTACGGGGGCCCACGGTTCAGTTCGGCGACATCTGACAACGATCCGGATGAGGTATTTTGTCTTGTTCGTATCCGGCTGTGGTATTAATACTTGCAGAACTAGTGCGAACGGACATGTATGACTAATGCTTTTATAACCTTCGTGGTCGAGCTCATAGTACGTCTCTTCATCGTTGAACTTAAACCGATGTGCTCTACTGTCGTGTGATTTTTCATCGTATGATTCACTAAACCATGTGCTTTTTTGAGGACCTTCCTGCTTATGGTGCGGATGCATGTTGTCGAACTTGGATGGCGATTGTCTTGAATGCGATGATGACTTTTAGTTTGTTTGTCATCAAGCTGTCCTCCCCTATTTCCGAATGAGTTTTTAACTCACCATAATTTTTAAAGGTCGAAGGTGATGAAAGTGAAATTTCTACAGAAACAGAACAGGAGGAGGACGAGGATGTGGCTGGAGATGAAGATAGTGATGAAATTATCAACATGTCACACATTCGAAATCGAGCGAATCTGTTTGTAGATGATGAAGCGGAAGAAGACGAAGATGGTGACGATGATGGAATCCCACGGGAAGATGCGGCTGGAATTTGCAAAGTAGGTGATGTGCTTCTTGTTTGTGTGAATTAGCGTGTTTCCATCCTATTCACTATGCTTAGAAATTTGGGGCTCTCAATTGTGAAAGCAGTCAAAATTACTTCTTTTTCAGTCTCCATCCAATTTTTCTTCTGAGGCTGTCAAGGCGCATCAAGCGTTGGCTTCCGGAGGTTGCGTTGAACCAGGCGAAATTGACCTTTTTTCTAATGACACGACTCATCTTGTGGATAGTATGTCAGTAGTATTCACACACCTAGAATCTTTAGAAGATCATTATGACCCTAAAATGTTTCCATCTATGAATTACGAGAATCCACTCTATTGTGAATTGCCTTCGGCCAAGATTTTAAACAGGCCATGGGACGGTACGCCTTACGGCATGCTATTTAGTCAGCAGCGGATTCCTTTGCAGGATAGTAAGCAAGTTATATGTCTATTTCACCATTATGATCAATTCCAATAGGTGCATCGGTGTATTCCTCAATTGAAAACAACAATTCCGATGAAACTCTTTCGATTCTCCCATCTTCGCAACCTCAGATTTGTCAGGATTTGACACAACCTTCATTTTCCGAAGACATAAGTAGTTGCGATCCAGGTACGCTGGGTATATTCTCATTCACTACCAGACAAAACGATCGGTATGCAACCAAGTGACGCAGAGCAGTTTGTATCAGATCACGGTGCTATTTGCTTGACGCAAACGCAAGTGCTCTCCAGAGCTGAAAAACGTGTGGGTATTTTTGATATTTTACATTTTTTGCGCAGATCCGGCTTCGTTGAAGTTCCCATTGCACATGAACCCTTTGGTGGAAACGGAAGGGAAACCAAAATTAATGCGAGTTCGCGATAGTATGTGACGCTTGGATGTTATTAACTCCCTCTTGTAGCTCATGAGTCTGGAGTCTCAAGTGCTACTTCTCAAGTTTCAGTTTGTGCCCTTGGATTCAGTCAAAGCCCACAAGGTGGGGTCATTTTACTTTGTATTTACAAATGAGTGGGGTTTAGGCTTATTTACTGAAGTCCAATTCGTGAAACCTTGTTTTAGATATCAGTAGCATCTCACTCTTCTCAAATTATGACAGCCAACCTCGCTTTTTGTCAGATGCGCAAACGACCCAGGTCAATACTAAACTCTTGGGAAACACTGACGCTGAATTTTCTGCAGAACCTGTTGATACACGATCTGTGCTTTCAACAGACACTCAACATCTAGGCGATGACCAGCAGCTGCGATTGGTAACTTCGAATAGGAATATTTTCAAATTAAATTTTTTTCGTATATTTATTGACGTCCATTTACTTGTAAGTGGTGCATTGTGCTGTTTTTGAAGGCTATATATGAAATATGACGGCATTCCAGCTTGTGCTTTTACTGTTTTATTTTATGTATCGACGTTAAGGTGGAGTGTTTTGGTTAGGCTGATATTGTAATTTTGTAGAATTTTGTACCTTGTGCTTTATTTTGCACAATTTTCGGAGATCTTGGAGATAAATTTTGGATAGGTAGGGTCATGGCACCCTAGCTATTCTTGTGTACCGATTCGAATTTTTTTTTAGCCCCCGGAATCCCGTAGACGTCTTAAGCGTCTTTCTCACACGTCCGGGGGAAACTCGGGTGACGAGGCAGATTTCGAACGCGTGTACAAGCGCAGGGCTTTCTTCTCTGAGCAGACACAATGTATAAAAGGGCCTGAAGAGAAGTTACCGGACGAATCGCAAATTATAAAAGCGCGCCTTGTTGACACGGCTGGTGTTCTGACGGCTGCTGAAGATGAAAGTGGGGAAGCAGAAGTTGGCGATCACTACGACCTTAGTGACGTTGAAAATGCCACTGAAGGGACTGAATATTCTTCCGACAATGAAATGAAATATCTCTGCATTTCTGAACGGGAGAAAAATGGCCCTAAGTATTTGCTTTGTTGCTGTTTTTCCGCCTTGATGGCTCCTCCTCGCATGAGCACTTCATAATCGATGCATATTAGTAAATTTTAAGTAATTTAGGCTTCTATGTATTGTGTACCATGTCATAGTTTTGATCAATATAAGCGCTTTATAACATTCTACATATGGTCAGACCCTTACTTATAAGGCTGTTTTGATTTAGACACGAAAAGATGTAAGCGATGCGGTTGATTTTACTGTAATGTGTAGGTATAAGCCAACGGATTTTATTGACGAGGAGGCTGAACTCTCAGGTGATGATGCTGAGCGCGCAATTTACCTGGACGAAGAGGAGGACATTGATGACGATTCAGACTTGCACAGTCTGAAGGACTTTGTCGACGAGAATGAAATAGACGACCGGACTGGCAAGCTGCGGTGCGAGGTGGAGCGGGTATATAATCGCATCCAGAACGACGATGATCGACGGCGAATCCGCTTTCTTAAGGTATGTATCTTTGTTCTAGTGCTCCACCTATCCCTAAAGACCAAGGATCAGGAATGCTTACTTCATTCTCCTCAGAATTTCTTTCACCTCTGCGTTTTACACGTCTTTTTGTCATTGCCCCACTAAGTTAGTTTGGTAAATAGTGAAATCTTTGGTTCGAGCCCTAGATTTGTGCATTAGAAAGACCATTGCTTTAAGTTTAAGTGTTCAACTACTTTCTCTCACTGTTATCTAATTTTTTCCAACTCTTCAGACTGACGAGTCTATTTTGAAATATTGAGGTTGTGCACTATATCTTGGTTCATAAAACCGTGCCCTAATCTGCTACATGTTTTCCTGTTGTATTTAACTGCGCGGTGGCTTTCAAAATTTGCAGATATGCGGCTTTATATATCATTATTTTTACATGGTTCAGTTTTATTGTTGACCACATCTAAAACTTGGTTTTCTAGGAAATGTTCTTTGAAGACGGAGATCTCTATGAAGAAGGCGGAAGAGTGCGGCAGCGTCGTTTTCGCTGGAGAGGTCTTGGTAAAGGAGCTCACTCAATTTCATCGCTCTATATTGCTCGATTAACAAAGCTTTTTACAATGAGATATCTTTGCTACTCAGAATGGTTCCATATGTTTTCGTCCTTGATCATTATGGTTAGTTTTAAACAAAACGCTCTTTGGACCGCCGATCGCAATTTGTCAGATGCAGTAGAGATTGGTTGCATTATTTTTTGTTGCTCAGAGGGTTGCTTGGTCATTTTTAATGCTTTACGTTGCATTTGTCCAATCATTTTTGTTGAATCGCCATTGCTGGATTTGGTGACTGCGGAAAGCGCCTCCCTTATGTGTACATAACTAATTTTTTGGATATAATTAGTTTCATGTGTCAGACGCTGATCTTTATATCGGCACTTCACTTTTTTCGGCGTACTCAATCCTCTATCGTCGTTTTAATTTCAACCAGATTGGGCAAACTATCGACAGGTCTATTGTTCATGTGTCGTTCTTTTTCATCTTAGAAGCTATTCTCTACCAGAGCTTAAGGGGGGAAGTTGCTGTCGTATCCCAGATGTGTTATTTACTGTAGCTGGCTAACCTTTAACTATCAATTCAAATACTGAACTTACATATTATACGTTCAAGTTCTGTAACTTAAGGTCTTGTCATTTGAACCCTTTTTTTAGATAAAGAGGATCCACTTACTACGAATGGGACTGATTCAGATGAGGATGGTGAAGAGAATGAGGAAGAAGGAAGACCGGAAGGTGAGGATGTCTTCTCTGCGTCGGTATGCAAAGGTGCCGGTATTATGAGTCGGTGGCTACTCCAAGGCTCATCGGGCTCCCTTTCTGGGAAGGTTTCTGCAGCCGGAGATGTAAATTCTGGTAGCAAAGATACAGAAGTTCCCGAATCGCTTGTTACGTCTACAGATGGTGCCAGCAATATGAAGTATGGTGCTTCTTCTGAGAGTATTGTAAGTCTATCGTTTGCATTTGTGAGAAAAGTGAATTATTCGGTTTCTAGTCTGTCTTAAGTCTAATTTGTACTTTCAGCCATCTTATCTCGATAAAGAATTTTTTTGTTCCCAACGTTCTCTCTCGTATTCCCATAAGGAATCACAAAGACGTCCCCTTGGTCCTCTCCTGAAAGCCACTTCAGGTGGAGTTTTCAGTATTATCTTGCTCTGCAATCCCTTGCGAGATTAACATTTTAAGAACAAAATACTGGTTTTATCTTTCCTAGAAACGCTAACCAAATCATTAACCGGGTCGAATTTCTTGGATTCGACAGGCAAATCGTCTGATGAGCCTAAATCTTTGCCATTAACCAAGGTATATGCTGAGAAATGATTTCCGTAATGCCCTCTGCAGTAAATAACTTGCCTAGAGGTGTCCTTTGTCTCCTTAGTATGGATCCATTCTCAGTCGATCCACAGCTCTCCTCCCTAACGCATTGGTTGGTCCCTCTCCGCACACTCATGACGACGATGGAGTCGAGATCGTCGACCCTAGTGTATCCAGTGCAGACGATGCTTGTGCCAGCGGCGCCACCTGGACCAATAGATTTGGATCGGGTCTGAGCGGTAAAGTTGGTCGCTCTTGTTTTAGTATGAAGGCGAATAGCTGCACAGTCATGGCCTCTGAATCCACGTGCAACAGTGCCCATTTCATCAAGTCGACCTGCCTTCGGCCTTTGCAATCGGCTTCAGTATGTATTTGCTATACGCCAATGTAGGCGTTAAGCACATATTTTAACCGTTACCGTCTGTGTATTTGTTGGCGCACTCAATCCATTTTTGATTTCCATCACTAAATCATCGGCTTTGGGATTGACAGTTCTCAAGAGAGTTGTTCTTAGGCTTTACTCCTGACTAGGGGCATCTTTCCAATAATTGAGTATCCAAGCTGAGTGCTGCGTCCTAATTTTTTTCTCGTCCGTTAACATTACCTGTCAATCAACCTTTAACTTATTCAAGGCAAGGAATACATTTCGGGGTGAATTTGGAACGATTTTTCGAGGTTATCTTTTCCATTTTAGCGTTCCAATGTTTGCGTGACGAGCCCTTCATCCACAAATCCACCGAAGTCAAAGTTTAAAAGCATTTTTGGAGCCCTTGTCTGACTGCTTTTCGCTGTTCCCCATTGTCCTTATCAATCTGTACAATAATTTATTTTGATGTTTCATGATATATGTATGTGTGCAAAACTAACTGATCTTGCCAGATTTTTGTTATTCTGAAATCTCAAATCTGTTTATATTGGGTGTTGTTGACTTGGCCTCTTCAGTCTTTATTTGCATATCCACATAGCATAATCTCTGCATCGATAATATTAGTTACATATTTTTGTGGAGCGCTTTACTTTCTTACATATCTCTGTGAATCTTAATTCCAAATCTTTGAAGACAATCTCTGTTAGCTCACCATATCTTTGTCATGGTAGTTATTCCCGGTCACGATGTCCGTTTGTGTTCATAGGTTTTTGTACGTGTAATAACTGGAGTGTCACTCTTATCACCCCTAGTTCTGTCGTTTGAGGACGCTAAATTGGGAAATTTTCGAGCGGAAAAACGAAGTCCTAGAAAGTGTTTTGTCATCACTCTGGTGAAAGAGGCGGCATCACAACGCATCTAATTCGGCCTGACTTGGCTAGCTATCACCCAATTAAGTAAAGTCCGAGTCGGATCATGATGTCACTTAGGTGCTTGATCCCGCTTTTTTCTTAATTAATGGAGAATATAAGTTGAGGTTTTTAGCAATCAAATTCTATGGTATTGGCATTGTGTTACTTGATTCCACTTCGAACCATGGTGTCGCCGTTAGTCATTAAATCTTATCTGTCTTTATTTTTGGTATAAGGCGATGACCTACTGCTAATCAAGCAGCAACATGCTTGAACGTGAAAAAAACGCGAGGTTTTTTAATGATGTTGAGACTTCTCCACTCTTATTACATTCGCAATTGTCCTTCATGGTTCTCCATTCTGTCGTGCGAGCAAACAAGACGATTATGGCATTGGTAATCGAGTTGGAATTCTGCCGACGGCTCTTTTTGTTACACACATCCTTTTTGCATGCGATCAGGGTCTATTTGAAGGGATAGTAATGCTTACTGACAATGACTTTTTCACTCAATTCTTTCGAATCCGGGTCGCAACATTCACAATTTCAGAATTCTATCCATTGGACCATTGGCTCACACTAACAATCATGCCATAATGCCGTGCAATTGGGATTTACCTTCGTACTGCGTGATTGAAGCACGTCGGCGCGGTTGCGCCACCTTCGGTATTGGTCAGACTACACAGAGTGGAAATCCATTGGTTGGTTTTTCTCATTTGTCTATTTCATGCTACTCTGGGGCAGTTTGCATTACGGACCGGTTTGTGATGGTGGGCGAGTTTCGAAAGCTATTGAAGAGCAACCTGTTAATGCTACTTACTGTTCTTGCAGTGATTGTCGGCATTGGCTTGGGGATAATACTACAGAAGGCTAATCTCAGTGAAGATGCCTTGTTGTGGATTGGTAATTCTTGATATTTCACTTTGTAATTGGTTATAATCTCGTAAGACAGTATTACTTGTTCATAAACTTGCCGCGGTTTCGTAAAACTAAGTTAATAAAGCATGGACATTTTGATCAGGAATACACTTTATCGGATCTGGCGTCGGTTTTGTTTTAGTTGTTTCGACTTATGCTATGCTGGATACAAATAATAATATGTATTTTTGGGATGGTGTTTTGGAGTTCATTTTTACTACTTCACAGCTGTTGTGGGTAGTTAGGACTACGTCTATCGCTTTTTTCTATATCAGTGTTAAAATTGGAAATAGGTAGTGGGAGGAACGTGAGTAGTATTTGCTAAGTGCCAACTAGTGGCACTTCCTGATTGAGTTTCTATCTGTAACGACTAATTTTTTCACCAATATTCCTCTCAAATTTGGTTTCATACTTGGTCACTTGTTCCTGTGAAGACTTACGCGTACTGCTTCCGAACTGATGGGATCCTTGGTGTACATTTTCCCTTAAAATTAGCCTTCCTAAGCGCTTTGCAAGGTTCCACTACATACCAATTCAAATTTATCAGCAACTATCCTCGTAGTGTCTGATTTCCTCGTGACACCACACCATCGCAACCAAATCGCATAAGTTTTAACATCTTCACAGGTATGCCGGGTGAGATCTTCATTCGTCTCCTCAAACTAATCATCGTTCCACTTATCGTGGCAACTGTCATAATGGGTATGTGGATCCTTATTTTTTTATTTCTTCCAAGTATAAGATGGATTGGAAACTGTATTTGCGCTAAGCCGTTATTAGCACGTTCACCGTCTCTGGCGATGGAGGCTATCGCGGCTGCAGTGTATTTTGGCTAGTGCTAGTAGACAGAATTCATCTATCCATCTTCTAAATATGTAGAAATCTTTTTACTGTAACTCATGCCCTGCTCGCTGTTCGTTTATTGCAAGTACCACATTGTTACACCTCATAAATTTGTTATTGGTTTAACAAACGCGGTCATCACTAGTTTTCCCTTTTCGTCTTTGTTTTCAGTGACCTCAACACTGGATTTAAAGGAAAATGGGAAGATAAGCGCAGTTTCATTGGCTTTTATCACAACTTCAAATACGGTTGCAGCAATTTGTGGCACAGTTGCAAGCTTACTGCTCAAACCAGGTAACAATGGATGCAGAATTATGTTGCATAATGTCGCACAGTGTGGCATTGTCAATTCCATCATGCGCATCAAGGAGACGAACATTCATGTTCGTCCACATGCTAGCTTAATTTAAACCTCCACAAACATCTGCAAGAGTTGCCCTCCTATCGTTTTGGGATTGTTAATTAACATGATGCTCTCCCTAGGTAGTTGAACGTTTGACATCCGCGAAAATGTTTCATGATTTGTAGGATATTTGACGCCAACAAACGCATCCATCATCAACCAGACGTTTACAACAGATACTCCACCCAAGACCTCGGACATTTTTGCCGATATGCTGTAGTGAGTATACAGGCTTTGCAGATTCTTCGAATCAAATGTAATCGTTGGCCTCATTCGAGCCCATAAATTGCTTTGCAATCGGCAGTTATAAACAAAAGGATTCTAGGAGGCTTTTGTGTTCCGCACTTCCCCTTACCCATGAGAAAACTTAGCTGTTTTTGTGATTGCTTACTTGCTTTCACACGGAGTGAATAGCGACCGGATTGTGGGATTCTAGCAGCTGTATATTTTTACGCCGAAATTCGGTTAGTCTGCTTTCTTCATGAGGTACATATGGCCCTCTGAGTAGTGAAGGCATGCCACTTGAATCATCTTTCCCTCTGAGAACTTGAAAATCGGGCAGGTCGATCGTACTCCCTCTATACCACTCGAATTTGTGTCGTTTTAGCAATCTCTTCCCTGATAATGTCCTCGGAATCGCATTGTTTCAGGTAACTATGTTTCAATGTTTTTGGCTCTACTACCTAGCATTTCTGATTTAATGAGAGTAGGATACTCGAAAAAATTACAGACTTTCACCTGTCCCAACAATCTTTCCATCCAAACAACACGTTTACCCTAATACCGTGCACTTTACTGCATTTGTAAGCCCTCTTTACGGCAACTGTCGGAAAACTGCCTGATTTTACAACCTTGCTTTACGTATTATTTGGTCCTTATGATCCCATAGTTGTAATCGAAGCTGATTTAAATGCATCTCGTTAAAATTGGAAATCTGAGGAACTTTTATCAGTCGCTATAAATCCACTCGGATGGCAAATACGGACTACTTTAACCACCTGCCGATTACAACATCTTGTTTTGCTTGTAATTGTCCTCAATCTCAAATGTCAATCCGTTTTCATGTATTTCAGTCCCGAACATCGTACGTTCCTACACTCCTTAGGTCCGGAAACGCAACAGTACAACGAACGATGCAAAAGGTAGACTCAGTGAATATGTTGGGTAAGTTTTCACTCCCTTTCCTATCATTTGTTTTCTTTTTGCATTCGTTTTCGCTATTTCATCATTGATCGCTTCATTATTTCCGTTGTGTATTTCAAACATTTAATTTCCTTTGCACCTTCTTTGCTCCGTAATATCCGCATGTTTCCTCCTTTAGGTCTGCTTTTTTGTTCCTTCATTTTTGGAACCGTTGCAGGAAGCTCTGGTGAACAAGGAAAACCCTTCTTAGACTTTTTTAAGTCTATTTCGTCCATAATTTTTACCGTCATGAACATATTCTTGCGGTTCGTCTTTATTTGTCGGCTCAAGTTCGCATAGAATTTAATTAATTGACTACTTCTCCCTTTCCACATCTTGCTTGTAGAACCGTAGGGAATTACTTGCGTCGGAAATGGGAAATGTGTGGGACATTGATTGAAGTGGTCATAACTCGAGTGGCTTTTTAAGCAGCCAGCAATCCACATTTCCATACTGGCTGTAGTAGTGTAGAGAGGAGGAGAAGAGAGAGAACGGCAACAGATGCTAAGAAACATCAGAAGTTCTTTGGCATAGCTTTCGATGCCTAGGGCAAACAATGTGTTGCAACACATGTAAACAATTCACTACGGAAAGTTAGTTATGAACGAAATATTTGAAACGCTTATCTAACTCGGTCTTACAAAGTGCCGAATTTTCGTATGCTTTAAGATAAACATTCGTTGCACAAGGTGGTAACTACTCTCCTGTTTAGACAGGGATGCCTTTCAATTAATTGCATCTAGTGGCAATTCTTTTGCACTTGAATTTAACCTCAGGTTATTATTATTATTGTTGTTTTCGTTTTCCTGTTGCTTTAGTTTCACTCCTGTCGGTGTGTGCTTCATGATCGCGGGCCCGATCGCCGGTCTGCGCGAATTAAGCACCACCTTTGGTCAGCTGGGTCTCTTTATGGTCACGGTCATTGCTGCCCTCATTGCTCACATGATCATAATTTTCACCATCTACGCTGCATTCACTAGGTCCAATCCCTTTCGCCTCTTGCCCCACTGCTTCCGCACCTGGCTCATTTCAATCGCTACTCTTGCCCCGTGAGTGGACTGAAAGTTACCTCATCGATACTCAATCCATCCAGCGCCTTTGCTAGGAGCAATAAAGTAGAGAGACCATACCGCATGGTCTCATACGTCTGTCATTTAATTTTAGTGCAAAATCCAACTATTCACGACTTTTCGACAACTTCAGTTTCCATTCCAAATTTGTTTTGAGATTGTTTACTTTAGAGTTGTAACCATTCCGGATATGTACAATGCCAGCGACGCTTTCGGAATAAACCCTAAAGTCTCCCGATTCGTTGTCCCACTTACAGCAACTTTAAAGGGTGATGGATCAGCTGCTTTTCTAGGAGCTTCAGCCGTTTTCATCGTCCAGCTCACCAATACACCACTAACTTCTGCCATGGTTGTTATAATTATGTAAGTAAAAGTAACTTCGATGATTGCCACCTGATTCATTGACACTTGTTCGTGTGGGCATAGCGTAGACGTAAAGCACAAAGTGGACGGATATGATGCGTTGAGGTGGATGATGTATTAATAGCTACTGGAAATTGAGTCATTATTAGTTATGCAATTTTTCATGAATAATGAAGATTCATGGAGCTTTTACTTAATGCATATTTACGTCCCTTCTTAGCTTGCTTAGTGCCGCGGCAGTTTTTACGCTACCAAATATTCCAAGCTCTAGTTTGGTTATTTTGGTAACGATTCTTGCATCGCTTGGCGTGCCAGTCAATTACGTTGGTCTGCTTTTCGCCATTGACTGGTTTATGTAAGTTCTAGCTAACAACCTCATTATTCTCCACTTTCATTCCTCATAACTGTGTACACGTTTTCAATAAAATGTGAAGAAGACAGAGTACAATTGTCTGCAATTTATGCATCTTTCGCTGAGGATATTTATCTTTGCAAGCAGTCTAGCTTCCTCATTCTAATCAGGTACCGGCTAATGATGACAGTGGATCGTTCGGAAAAGGTTTGCAAGATATGTGGTCCCTGTCTCACAGACCAGAAATTGACACACATGCGTCACTCTATGTACCATTTTTTTACCAAAGCTGTTGCCTTAACCACGCGTTATTTAAGGTCACCTAATCATTGTGTAGCGAAATCTGCATTTTTGTTTGCACTAGGGACCGATGTCGTACCACAAACTTGGCTGTGTTGCACCTCTACTGTGTGGCGTTCACTCACCTTATCTGCGAGGGGAAGTTGCACAGGAACAAGGACTCGAATGATGTCAATGGACTGATGCCAATACCAATGGAAGGAACTGGTCTCGAGGATGGTGCCTTCATATCGTTTTAAGTGTTGGAAGCCGCAGAGGAAAACTCAGTTTAACTGAACGCATAACCATTTTGTAGTGGAATTATTGATGCTATTCGTGTTTCAATAGGTGATCTGTGGGATGCTTGCAACAGGACATTTTTGAGTGTCGCTTAGAAGGCTTGTTGAATTTTACTGCAGAGTAACTTGTGGAACCGGCAAATAACAACCAGGCGGCCTAGAGAAATGAATTCCAAAGGACAATTGCATGTGCATGTGGTAACAGAATCTTGGCTTAACTCAAAAATTGTCGTTGCGATTTGGAAGCCGTCCATTCGCCTGCTTCGCAGACTGAGTTTATAGTTCTTAAAATAAGTCGAGTTGAAGTTGCACTCATTGCGTTTTTATATACCATATTGTTATTTAGATTAATGTTTTTATTCCAAAAGACGTGTATTTAAATAATGTAGCTACCCTGCCGCAGTCCTTTTTAGTAATCGCAAAGAGGATCAATGAAGGTTCCATCCAAAAATTTACAAAATGAGTAATGATGAGGCAATGCGAGCCTCTCTAGTAGTTAGGACCAAGGGAACAGTTTAGAACAACGCTGGTTGGGTCTTCACTTAAAGAATCCAGTTTGAAGCGGCGACAAGGTGGTTAAAATTAAACACTTTGAAATCGCAAATCATAATTGCGAGGCAAGTACAGCGTATAAATGGTTGGTCTTTTCGGCATTTTTATTTGTCGACTGGAGTTGGATGCAATCAGTAGGAGTAACCAACATGAAACACTTCAATATGAAGACGTTGGATGCTGGATGTACAACTCTACTAGTCTCAAAAACATGTAAAATCTTAAATGAGTTCGATCGCTCAGTGCATGGTGGCAAATGTCAAGGGTGCCTCCGCGTCCTGATGGTCAACAAGCAGTACCTTTCAGCGTCTTGGGCCACTTGATTTTCGATGGTCTCGTCCGTGAGGCAGGAATTCGAAAACCTCATACCAACCAATTTTAAGTGAGGTTGCTGAACTTTTGAGTGTGAGTGACCTTGTGGTTTGTGAGGTGCTCCTCATTTCCAACCATCACAAAGGCAACAAGAGGTAATTGTATTGTAAAGAATATTAGCAAGATTAGTGATACAATTTGCCATTGCCACTGTTCTCCACGAAACACACTAGAGCATTACCTATCACAACTTGATAGGTCGTTATAATGGCGTTTTAGGAGAGGCTAATCTTGCATTCTCACCATCTACGCCATCGGATTCCCATTAAAATAACTTCGTGTGTGGTTCGTTTGAGTGCTGATGAGAGCAGGCATCGATTGAGCGACCATGTTGTCTCTTTCTGGTGAGTTTGCCTCTAAGCCGTCCGAAAGGCAGTAATCCTCATCCCTTTTACGTGAACACACATGGAACCCGAGCAGCAGTGGAGACCAAACCCAATTATATAACAACTCCCCACTTGACTTCCACTGTTCACGAGAAACTCTTGGAGTATGAATGAAAGGTAGGCAGTATGAATGAGAGAACCTCCGATTACGCCATGGGGGAAGGGTCAAGTTTAGCCTTCTGAGATTTCCCATCAGGTAGAAGAAGTCATTAAGTGAGGAGAAGAGAGATCGGATTTTGACTTGGTCATACGGGTAGTTACAAACAAAGTGTTAAAATGAGAATGACATTCGTTTTCGGCAAGCTCAAACAGCTGAAGTGAGACCGTTCCAAACCCATCTGACACTTTTCTTTTGCGAAACCGCATGAGAGTGCTGACAATTTCGAAGTGTGCAAACATAGTCGCCCTTTGGATCCATGTTCAAACATCTAGTCTTGAAACTAAATGATGATTAGCAGAGCCCTCATTTTCTGAAAACGATTCGAGAGTATCGAATCTGCCAAAAGCGATTAGCGGAATTTGCAAAGGAGGTTTATAACTGGTGCGACTGGTTAATGAGTTTATCCTTACAGCGCCGATTGTTTGGTGATGGCTTGAGGGAAGGCAAGTCAAGGGGAATGTTGATAGCCTTCCTTAAAAGAAAGGAGGGCTATGCAATAATTTAATTGCTTGACTGGCGTTCCGAGTTGCGATCGTCATCATAGTTAAGCATAAATCACTTCTTTTTTGTCCAGACATGTATTCAGTTTACGTACTACGCCTTGTCTTACCGGCGAAAGGTCTCGGAATGCTCTATCGCATGCAGGTAGCATAAAATTCAAACCCCATGACCACCTGTCTCTCGGTCAAATTGGTTTATGTCTTACTAACATGTATGTGAGATGGCTTTCAAACCAAGCCAAGGCCCAACTTAATTCATCGCTTCATCTAGCGGAAAAGCTAAGAATGCTATACCGGTGCCAGTGAAACTGAACTCAATATTTTTGACTCCTATCCTGTTTGTTGCCATATGCGATGCATGTTGTGAAGGAATCACACGTACTTCGGGCGGAATATTCTCCTAATTTTTCAGAATGGAATGATTGAGAATGTTGTCTGTGTTTGTCCCGCAGGCAATCCATCAATAATTAGGGCAAAATAATCATGGACCACCTAGTGGAACTTCGTATTACATTTTCCTTCCCAAATCCGCGTATAGATGTTGGATATGAAACTACGTCGAAACCCTTTTCATACGTAGCTGTGTTTAGTTCCGTTTTCCTTTTAATCACCTGTTTTAGACCAGTATGTCAACACCTAATCCTGGACACGACTGATGGTCAACAGAAGTTCCTCACTAAGACTCGTGCTCTTAGACCGAACTCAATTCCGGATCCAACTAAAATTACTAGGAAAACCAACCACAGTATCTCAACCTCAAGGCTGCTTATAACTGGAGCCGCTAAATCGCAAGAGTTTCTTTGTGCTAATAGATATGTTATGATGGCAAAGACGAGAGACGTATCAGTGGGTGCGCAGCGGACGTGATCGATAGCGAACGAGGTAATGTAATACTTTGCTTTTGTGACTACCTATGTCTGGCTGTTGCCTTGACGTTGGCTCTGCCCTTGCATGCTTCGGCTGATTCCTTCGTCTCTTATGGAATACAAGCGATTCCCTGGCTTGTAATTTCTTTTTATACGTAGTCGGAAACCTAGAGAGGCTACAGCTTATTTTACGCCATAAAAAGTCTTGGGTGCTACAATGAATTTAGTTACCCTTCTATTCCCCACCTTTAATTGCTCTTCTGTTATTAAAGGCCACGGTTAAACATGGAATTTGGTAACCATTCGCCTTTCGAACGCATAAGTACCACCCCATCATTGTGCTCAATACCGCATTAATGAAAGACGGAGTTATAATGAGTAACTTGGTGTTAATATGTTTTAAAAAGAGTAGAATTTAGCATTGAATGAATATGTGTAATAAGCATAAAAATTTTCAGGTTGTAATAATAAAATACGCTTTAAAGCTATAGCTTACTTTTAAAATAATCGTTTCCGCTTTTATTTAACATTTGATTTCAAAGTAATGTGCACGAAAAAAAAGGCGAAATTTGTTTTACTGGTTAACAACCTTGCAATGTCATAGTTTCGCGTCATGCGGCAAATTAAGAATTAAGCTGTGGGTATTGTGCAACACTTCCGTGATGCAAGTAACAGCGGTAACAATTAATGCTATACTCTAAGTATTAAAGCATATTACTTGCATATATAATAAAGCGTAGCATAATTAGCGTGTGCAGGATTCGCACAAAATTAATGCAATATTTTTCGTTGTAGTAAAGACACAATCAACAAATATAACCAATACGGCATGAACTCTAAGGCCGGCGTGAGCCACAAGTCATGGTGCATTATTGTACGGATTAAGTTTCCATACAACACAATTATGGAAATTAGTGATTTACCAGATGGGCTGCCATTTGATTTGTTACGACGTGTTCTAGCTGAAGAATGTTCTGACAGTGTCAAGAACATTAAATTGTTTTACAACGGCAGTTTAATAAAAAGTGGAGTCACACCCAAAAGACTTTTTAAAGATCTGAGTGTTGTTCCGGAAATCGAATGCCGTTTTAAGCATCCTTCGCAAACATCCAAAATTCCTTTAGGAAGAAGGAAGTGCAAGTTGTCTCGAACAGATGATATTACTGTGTATATTTTTAAAGGAGAAGATAAATCAAAGGACAGACAACCAGATAATTTGAAAGTGAACATTGAAGACAATGATTTTGATCCTGGACCGCATATAGTTCAAATACAATGGATATCTGAAGAGCCAAGAAAACCTTTCTTGGGTGGTTATCGAAGAAGATCAGATCAAGTTCTTTTTTACCATGCTACATCTCAAACTGCTCCAAAATCTCCAGATAATCCTACTGTTCCACTTTTTTCTCGAGAAACACAAACTTATGCGGTAAAGCATGAGAATGACCAAACACTTCAGCAAGCCACAACAGCAATGGCAAAACCTGGCTTCTACATTTCCAACACCAATGACAGAGTGGTAACACCTAGGCTGTACGAGACTGCAGACGAGCATAGGATGCGCCTGAATAGATGTGTAAGCTACACACTTAATATTTATTCTTATTATGAAATTCGTGGAAACTCTATCTCTTTCCCTATATTTTGATTTTATTTATTGTCTCAGTGCCTGGAAGTACTAGTGCCTTTAATTTGCTACTGCTATTCCATTCTTGGCTTTTTAGGCAATAGTAATACAGAAGTATGTGCGACGTTGGCTTGCTAAACGTAGAGTTGCTCATCTTCGTACACTCCGAGACAAGTACAATGCGTCTGTGGGAAGAAAGCAACAAATGTATTTGCAAAACAGACTTAATAGACCAACTCTTGACTATAATAGACGAGCCCGCCCCAAAACACGATACGATATCGACAGACTCTTTAATGCTCTTGAGGAATGGCGTGTAAAGGAAGTGAAGTGTATACATATGAACTCAGGATCTTTAGCCATTAGAAAAGCGGACATGGGTTTGGTCCTTGACAAGGAGGTTGAATTAATAAAGAAAATTATGCAAAACCAAATGGAACTCTCGGGCTGCGGGAAAATGCGGGAGCAAGAGCGTTTCATCGAAAAAGCTGCCTCGGCAGTTCGTTGGAGGAGTGAGCAGAGTCTGGGACCTGTGGAAATGGACACCTCATATACTCTTTTTGGAAAGCGTCTTTTAACCTTATATGAAAACCTTAAATCCGATTGTCTTAGTGAGACTGAACGGATGGACTTACTTCTTACTGTTAAGAAGTTAGTTGGAAGGTACCCATCTTCCCTAAGTTGTGACATTGTGACTCTTGCAGAAAGGGAGACGGAGTTAATACTAAGAAATATCCCAGTTTCAATGCTTGTTGGTCTGCGCCAGCGCATTCTCCAACGTTTTATGCAATTTTGTAAAGTGCCCGAGTACAACCCAGCAGTGGCATCACATCTTCCAATCCCTAACAAAAACGATCCAAATGCCCGCACAAGGATGTGGAATGACACTCATCGATGTATATCTTGTGGTGGATACCTTTCGACCGCGAAATTTGGTGTTACTGCACGGGCCAAGCATCTGGATGTTTGTTTATTCTGTTGGCGGCAAGGAAATCGTGGAAGGGATCGACTAGACTTAAAACCCTATCAACAAATCCTTGAAGATCTTCAAAAATCTGAAGCTGAGCTACTTCGCAAAGCTAATTGTAACAAAACTATTGAATTACAGAACTTAGAGCTTAATGCTCTTGATAAGGCTGTGGAAGAGCAGAAACGAAGGAAAGAGGTTCGAGATTATGTGCCAAATGACACAGGGACTCTGTTTAAGGCACAAAGCCGGTATTCAGCAGTTGATACTAAGATCGTATCAAATCACTTTGAATTGCTTGTCAACGTTCAGGATATTTATTTTCTGGTTAACAAAATATGGAATGGTCGATCTGCTCTTTCTGGATGTTCTGAACTTAATGATTTGACGCTTTGTCGATGGAAAGTTACAGTGCCATGGTCACCATGGAATACATTATTGGTTACAAAGGAGGAAGCTGATCTACACATGGAACTTAGCAATATCCCTTCGACTTTGCTGTATGCTGACACTATGCTAACTAGGGTACGTCAGCGGCTTGTGATCGGCAAGAATGTGTTTGTGCGGCTCTGTTTAATCGGACGCAATATGACCCAAGAACGGCTGGAATTGAATGAGGAACTTCTACAGCCTAAAGTGAAAAATGTCCCTCATCCATTGGAAAGGAAATTGTATAAAGCTGAGGGTAAACCACTGTATCTACTCACAGCTGAGGAAAGGCACAAATCAACGTTCCAACCACCTCAGATCTTGCTTCCTGTCATTAAAGGTGAAAAGAAACTAATGAATTTAGAAATTAAAAGCCTTAAGGAGATTTGGCCCTTGTCAGAACCCACCAAAAGAGAATGAGTCCAGGAGGCACATTTATGCGTATGTGCACAAGTGTAAAAGTAAAACCTTTTAAAGTAGCACCTCACGTCACTTCTATGATTCGTGTATGAAAGGCATTAATACCTAAGCCCCGCAATTTTAGGATGAAACATAAAAATTTATTGTGAAGAGATGACAAACCAGACAAGGAATAAGAATTTCATTTATTTTTAGTCTGTAGGCAATAACTCATTGTTTTCCATGGTTGTGAGCTGGAGCGGATGTAACATCAGCGGCTTTCTTAACTCCTTCATTAATATTGCATGATGGGGTTCCTTACTAAAGGGTTTATTTGTGCAGAATTTTGGCATATGTTGATTAACAACAAATGAACAAGTAAAATGGAAGCGCCATCATCCTCAAATGCGACAAATGAACGTTCATCTACGTTTCAATTAGCTTAGGGATGGCAAGACAATAAAGCTTTATCATTTCAGTTAGGTTTTCATTCCTTTTGCATTTGTCTCCACTGTAGAATGAGAGGGTTCCATGCTCCAGACGTCGTTTCTCCCAACGAAGGTAGGAAGTGGTGTGGCTGACAACCGCTCTGATGGTGTTGAGCGACAATTGACCTAAAATATAAAATGATAACGAACTTCAAAATGCTGCAATTTCAGTTCTGCTTCCATACTATCGTACTTTAGATGTATGTATGTATGTATGTATAAGTATCGACATAGATGTGGTAAATGCGATTTGATTACAGACACTAGACACTGAAGGCATAGATACAATTATATCCCAGTCATTCTATACAATCGGTTGATTTGTTTTAATAAAAAAACATTTATCTGTTGTGGTAATCACATTTACCAGACCTTAAATACAGACGCCAATCCGTAAGGTGTGGCAACCGTTGATGGGCGCCAAATGGTTTCGCTTTCGCAAGGGCCATCTTTCGGTGGTTTGCCAGAAGAGGCGAACTGGTGAAAGAAGTCGGATAGCGAGATCGGCTGACCTCCCCGCAGGGTCTCCTCGTGCTTTCTAATCTCATTGAGCTTGCAGATTTTGTTTCGCAGTGTAGATCGCGGGATGCCATACATGCTGGCTGCCCGTCGAGTGCCGAGCTCGCCAGAGCAGATTGCCTTTACTGCAGAGGCCAAGTCGAAGGCCGTGTAGGGCCTTCGTCGTGTCAACGACAACTTGTTACCGTGTGAACCCACATCGTCCACTGTCGAAATGGAGTGATACCACTTTGCCTCCATCATATCATATGCGTGTGTGCTTTCCTAAGTAACCCTTCAAAGTGTTGTCTTACTTTTGATTGTAAGACTGATGAGAACAATTTGGCTAAACCTCCTCACTTATTTATTTCTTCCCAACTAACGTTTCGTAAATTGGATAGCGAAATTGGCCTAAGGAATTAAATGCAAATTCTTGTGGAATTGACAATTTTGCCACCGAATTTAATAAATTGCGTAAGTTTAGTTATTTTTATAAAAACGATTATTACTATCGTAGTTATGGAATTATTCAAGCTAAGCGTACTATGATTTCCGACTTACCCTCGAATGTCGTCATCTGGGTTTGAAATTGCAATTTGTCTCAAACTCTACCATGGGGATAATTGTAAGAGTAAATCAACATGCTTTTCTTAGAACTCTCTGCATACATTTTTCAATGTTCTCATCTCCCAACCAAATAAACAGACATTATTTTGGTCCGAAGTATATGTCAAACTTTTGAAGACAGCATATTGTTGCGTGAGGTGTGAAAAATTCTCGTTCAGCAGCTACTCGACTAACCTCTTCTGCCAGCTGTGAGTCCACGTGGCAGACGATGTTTAATGCGCAGATCACAGGGATAAGGTTTTCGTGGTTCTCTTGAAGACGGACACTTCTGCGTATTAGAGCCTCTAAGGCAAATTATAACTTTGTCGTTTTAGAACTCACTCATTCGCCTCCATTGAAAATCGAGTAACTGGTGGAGGGAAATTTTTACACTCCAATTGGAGAGCGTCTTGTAAATTCAACGTTTCATTCTCCTTAAATTCCTTTGACGCATCAGCAATCCTCAGCATTCCATCATATATTTCATGAGAGTGGCGTTCTTTAAGAAAATTAACAATTCACAGTACAAAGTGTTATCCTACTTGGGTTGCGGGAGTAGCCGCCCTTCTGCACATGCGTAAACGGCGCGCCACTTATTCGGAGATAACAGGAGAGTACCGCTGGTGGTGGCACTGGGACGTACTTTTTTGAGCTAAGGAAGGAGAAGAAGTAGCAATCGATCGCCTCCCGCTGAAACACTTCAAACAAGCGACTGTCATTTGTGGTGTCTAAAAGTCGAGAGTACCCTTAGTAAGTTCTTATTCGTAATGTTCATTAATGCTTAAAAGAGGGTCGAAAAGCACATAATTCAATATCAACTTCGAGCAGCTTATTAGGTAACATCTAAACGCCAAACCGCTTATCGCCTAATTTGCTCTCACTTACCTTATCATGCTGTTGGGCAAATGGTGCTGCCATTTGCCCAACTACCCGACAGAAGTTAGCTAATGGCGTCCTCTTGAGGTCATTTACTGAGCAGCTTTGTCCCCACCTGCTGTGGTGTAGGAGGTGAGGCTTCCCTAATGGATGAGTTAATCTAACATACCTTTATTACTTGGATAGAGCATGCTTAATGGCCTTTGCCGACTAACTGCGCAGCCCCATCTGATGCGACCAAACCGTGTAACTGTTCCAGCATTTATGAACAAGTATCTCCAGATCAGTTTACTTACCATTTATCCTAGAGTATGCCGCTTCAATATAAGACGAAAGGCCTTCTTAATGCGGTACATTTTCCTTACACTTCGAATGCTTACTTTCTAGATCAGACATAGGGATTGCGTGCGACTGGGCTATGCATTATGATGATCCACGTTGCAGCGTAGTGGATCATGGATAAAGGACGCAATTCCATAGTTTTTTAACAACAATTTTGGGTTTATCTTTAGACCATCACATACACCGTTGCTGTGATTTCCGTGGCAACCACTTATGAACAGGTGGCACTTGAGATGCCTTAGGAGGAACAGGTGCCGATTCTGGTATAACAAGCTGCCCGGTCCCCACCACGGGCGCGATCCGGTAGTTGCGTGTTCGTCGTTGTTACAGCGTAGGTCACATGCAGAGTCAACATGCACACGCGCCTAGCTTCAGTCGCGGACGTAGGGAGGGTGGAGGAAGGAGGGAAAGCTTGCGCGCTAATTAACCACACCAAAAGGAATGGTACAATGCTGCAATATGCCTGGTTGTGTGTGGTCGTGTGTCGCAATCCATGACAAACCATTCTGGGAATCGCTTACAGCTTCGCTTAATTTTCACACGGGCCAATTGAAGGCGCAGCTTATACTATTATAAAACGTATATTTTACGTGGCCTCCTTCAAAAGGAAATGCAATTTTGCGTTCTTTGAGGAGTTTGGCCTTAAACCAATGAAGCATAAATGTCGCAGAATGGAAAGTTTAATGCTGTCGCTTTTGGCATGAAGTTATTGCAAATAAAAATCTGTCTTGAACCTTGTAGTTTTGATCACTATCGTCAGTTAAAACGGTATACTGTGAAAGCGTCCAAGTGTTTTGTAATCGTTGAACAGTAGCTCTACCCTTATAAACAACATACAAACGATAGCTTGGCGTATTGACACCTCTGTGGGAACAGTCTTTAACTTGTGTTGAACCAAGCCCTATTGGTGCGTTGGTACAAGAAATGAGCAGATTAACTCTCCCATTAAGACAGAAATGTGCCGCAGCACTCGAGGTTGTATGAACCTTTCAGCTCTAAGGGTGCTACCCCACAGCATTCACTAGGCAATTATTGTTACTACCGTTTGGCATAAAAAATTTTGATCTCTTAATGTAGGTGCAACAGCAGCAACAGTTAAGATTTCGGGGACAGAGTAATTCGTATGGACGTCAACAATGGTTTAAGCATATGCTTGGAATAGTTCAAGATAAGAAATATTTGCGAATTCTCTGTTAATTAGTGTGGTCATAGTGAAGATCAAGGATAATATTCAAGTTACAATTTACATTAGCTGAATTCAACTTACTTCGTGTTTTAAACAGAAAGTGAAAGAGTGGAATGTAATCGAACAAATTTCTGTTGAAATGGCCGAAGAACATATCAGAGTTGAGGTTACTGTTGTAGTTTGCACCTTCTGATCCTGACTCCTGTTTACTCATTTTTGCTCCTGGTTCCGCCACAAGTGTGTCCTGGAGTGCATCTGTTTACGATAGGTTGGTGTTTCTTTGGCCAGAAGGGGAGAACGTAGGGGAAGGAGAAAAGAGGCGCCTGCTTTTTCTCACACTCTCTGCCCTCTCCCTTCTGATTGGCTCATGAACGAGGGCGCAAACGCACATTCCCGTCCCCAGCCAATGCGCTTTAAGGTTGTGCAGGATACGTGTTCATTAGCATTATAAAATTATGCGGACTTATTCTTGCTACTACTGCCAGTACAAAAGAATTGGTTGAATGGTTCATTTCAGTAAGGCGTGGTTATATGGTAGGCGTTTAAGTATCAGGATATTTACCGTGGCAGCCATGCTCAGTGAGTGCACAAGCAGTTGCCATTTCGACTAATTATCAAACTTTCTAAAAAATCTCCTTCCCCTCTAAAAATAACAGTGAGAGTACACTAAGTGTCAGAAAATATCCACAACAGCTCATCACCAGTTACTACTACTGCCATTTGATCTGCTAGTATTCAAAGGTGAAAAGCAGTACGCACATGCAATCAAATGAATGGTTTTAGTGCACTTCATCCCTACTTTTCTAGTGACCTGAACTTTTCGAACAGGATCGGCAAAGAAAACATGTTAAAAGCTAACATTAAAACTTAAGGACTTACCTGCAAAAAAGCATACTAAGAACACTATCTTTTGCGATTACAGAAGCTTTTAAGTTGGAAAATTACTATTGCTGTGGCGTACGCTTTGGAGAGCTGAGAGTCAGAAAATTTACCTCATTTCACAATTGATTTGTCTGATGTTCCTAGCTAAATAAATTCGTAAATACATCTACAATTACATTTCATTCAAATTCACTAAATTAATATTTTGAAGTGTGAGAAGAAGAAGCATTGTGTATGAAACCCATATTATGCGTAGAGTGTGGCTGAGATGGAAGTCTGTTGACACGGCAAAAAGGACGCTCCGTAGAGCGGAAATAGAGCCTGTGCACTTAAGAACAGTGTATTCTATTCGTGTCTACACTGTACTACACAATCTGACGCCTGCGATTGAAATTATACTACTTACGTTCAATGTTATTTCAGTGTAAATTTGACAACGCATATCTTCATCCAAAAAATTGGGTCTTGTTAAAACGCTTGCGAGCATCTAGTTGGATTCTTATCATAAAGTCATACGTTATGGGAATCAGTGCCTTCTAGTAATAAGAACCATAAGCAAGGTCATAATGAAGTTCCTCAAAACACATTCGCTTCCAACGGACTCCATAGTTTTAACAAGGAGGCGGTGAAAATGGTCATGCTGCTGGACATGGTGCAACTATCAAATGCTCAAGCAATCATCCACCTAGTCCAAATAGCAGACGATTAAAGACAAGTAACTTCTACTAGAATTTGAAAGTAGGCGTAAGTGACATTAACGATTCCTTTCGGTTAAAAGTTCTGTTATTTGCCTATGAGTTGGATCAGTTAATTGCCATAAGCAATATAACTGCTTATTATTAAGAAAACTCACCAAAAGCATGTGCAAGTTAAATTTTCAGCCAAAAATGTAAGAATTTATGTGACTGCCTATCTGGCTATCCCCTCGATTCTGCAAGGTGACGGCTGAAGTCCACTTCCTTTGATTCCGCCTGAATAAAAGTATTCAGCCAAGTCTCCTACCTTTCATTATAAAGTGAGAGGTCGTACGATCCTACAGAACAAAAAATCCGCTTGTATCACACATGGAACGTTGTAGCTAAGGTGGACGGCTTAGATTTGCCTTTGCAGAATGAGAAATACTTTGTAGGGGGGGATGCGGCAAGACAATATTAAACCCGCGAAAGAGGAATGTAAAAAAAGTACTTTCTCAAACTGCACTCAATCGTTTGTTCAGTTTGTACCCTTTTAGAGACGCCCTAAAAGCCTTCTAGGAAAACCCCACCACTTATTAAGACTGAGGTGGAAGGCCCGGAGATTAGAGTGAGAGTAACTAGCAATTATTAGTAAATAAATTGCGAAGTTGGAATACCTGTAGCTTTAGAATGAATACATTGCTACCATCAGTTTACTACTATGCCTGGGTGACCATCTGACGTTTAAGGGCTGCTTTGGAATTCGTCTGACCCTTGTACTCGTAGGCTGGCCTTCGACCATCCCAAGGCCTATTTTCCTCTTAGAACCCCCAGAATGCATTTATTCAACCCAAATGATTACCCTCTTATACCTGCTGGGAAGCATCGAGGCTCTACAATCAACATTTTCAGCAAATTTTGGGGTCGTTCGAAATGTAACAACATTATTATTGCAATAGGCCAACAAAATTAAAAAAAACTATATTAATGACTCGAACAGAAGTTGTAAGCTCCCTGTGTTGAGTTACCATATTTTTAAAATACGATGTGTCGTTAAAATTGAGTCGAGTTCAATGGTTTTTCCTTAGCAAGATACAATTCTAACACGTATTTACTTTGGAAATAATGTGTATTTGAACATTCAATTATGGATCATCTCAATTTAATCGTAAAATTTTTAGCACAATGCGGCAAAATGTATCGGTGTTTGGTTACTCTCTCCAAACTGTTTTGGCGTTAGAATCCTCATCGCGCTTTATTTCTTAGTAGGATAGGCGCAAGGTTGCTAGTGATTATTAATTTACTGAAACATTTTTGGCTTTGACTTAATGCCTATTCCATTTCGCTTATCTTCATTTGAACTATAGGGCTCTTTTAATTTCTCTTGCTCATCTCCATCCTATTATCCCATATGAACGCAAGGTTCGGCTTTGTTGACTTATGGGTGGTATTTCATTCTGAATTTTACTAGAATCAAGCAATGAAAGCCACCAGATCCAAATTGGCTCCAAGCAAAAGCACTGTTTATGTATCTAACGTGCCTTTTTCACTCACTAATAGCGATTTACATAAACTACTGGAACCTCACGGCCAAATTACTAAGTATGTTGCTGTGATGTTGCTTTCACATTTACCACGTTTGTTATTTGGTATTGTGAAGTATAACACTGTTTTGGAGTCATACATTTATGGTTCTGCGCATGAGTCACCCAGCTAGAGTGTCATAAGATAAAAGCGTTAACTTTGTAACGTATATCTCAAAAACTAGATGGGAATGTATGTGTCTTGAAGGTCTTTCCGTACAGCTCTAATGTGTAATACGTTTTATATTCAGTCAATAATAGCACTTAATGACGCTTATTTCAGAGTCACAATATTGAAAGACAAGCTGACCCGAAAGAGCAAAGGCGTCGCTTTCGTTCTCTTTCTGAGTGTGGAGGATGCCCAACGATGCGTTCGTCATCTTAATGGCTGTGAAGTGAGGCTCCTCACCGTGAATATTGTTTTTGGGATCTTTTCATCTCGTCATAATCTCATTGTAGATGTTTGGCCGGCATATAAAGGCCTCGATAGCCGTTGACAATGGTAGGGCGGTGGAATTTATTCGGCGTCGGGAGTATCCTGACAAGTCTCGCTGCTATGAGTGTGGTGTAAGTTCGCGCTTGTTGTTTATCTTCCAGCTCACTTATTCAAAGCCACCTCTTTGTATCCCTTGTTGACCAGTGTTTGGTAGGGATGGGAATGGAATCAATCGAAGCTTTTGCGTCGGTTCTTTTGCATATATATTGCAATGAATTTTCTCTTTGTGTGTATCTTACGGTTAGTCTTCTTCTTCGCAGAAAATCGGCCATCTGAGCTACACTTGTCCGAATAACGTCTTCGGTGCACGGGTTCGTCCCAGAAGCAAAAGGTCTGAACGCAAAACTCAACAACTATCGTTTGGAGCTCTAGCTAGGTTTGTCATTCACATAACCTACCTTGATAAAAAATGCTACTTTTTCTTTATCATCACTATGTATGCTTTTGTCTGTGAGGAACTATTTCTCTGTCTCGGTTATGTGTACTCGTTTTGTAGTCTCGAGGTTGGCTTAATAGCCACATGCTGGCTTTGGCGATCTAGGCTTTATTTTTGATTTGCAAAACAATATGCTCGGCACACCCAGTAGTACAAAAAATGATGCATTCGCCCTGATGTACCCATATCTGTCGTTTATTTTTTAATGGGTCCTTGCCTTTTTTTACGTGTAATAGCGGACCGGAAGTTCACGAGCATGGGATGGATGAAGTGGACACTGGGGAGAATGCGGACACTTGGAGCGCTGTCGTTAACTTCAGTCGTTCCTTAACTGACTCCGCCACCAGTTGCTCTCCTCCTCATTGGAGGCGAAAGATACGCAGAGACTCCTACTTCTCCGATGAAGAGAATTTCGAGAATGTCTGAATCTCTAATCAAACTGATTTGCCTGTCATTCATCGAAGCATTTCAAATGATTTCCAACTTCTGATCGTCTTTGCTCAATTTTGTGTGGTATTCGATTCAATATTGTTTAAGATTTTTAATTGTTCCTCCGGTTCGTTTATCGGTGTACATGGTTGTTAGGGTGCTCCTTTCGAGTTTTACGTCGGTAAATTAAAGGATATATATATAAACTGAAAGGAGCTAATAATTAGCTGACGTTTCGACGTCCTTTTCAATGTTCTCTCAGCTGATTGAATGATCTGATGGGTATTTGAAATCGGACCAACCGGTGAGTCACATGACCTGGGGCAATTCTGCGTAATTCTCAAGGTTCCAGACTCGGGAAGTTGGAAGCAAAGGACTCAGTTCAAGGTAGGCGTCGCCTTTAATGCTGCCATGAATATACTACGTCCATCGATCTCACAAACCAGACGAAGACAAAGTTTCTGTGGTTAGCTACGTTTGTGAGTACTACTAGAGAGAGGAAGTAGTTGGTTTCGTTTGCTATCCAGATTAGTCTAGTGCAACCTCCTGTCACAGTTTAAAGGGCCCGGAAAAGATCGTTCTGCATTTGGTAAAGGGCCTTCAGTATAAACACAGATGGGAGGTAGGTTGTCTGTGAAATGCGCTGCTCAGAATGACCCTGCACAACACGCCCTAGTGAGTCAGCATGCAGTATAATAGGCACACAAGGTGTCACCTTGTTTTTTATGGAAGCAGTTCAGGTTTGGGTGATGGTGGTGGTGTCCGTTTGCACCTGTGGTGTGGCTTTCCATGCGTCGCGATGACTCATTGTCTCTGTATGTACTCTCACCGAGGATTTTCAATGTCATGCACATACCTTGAGCCTGGGTCTTGCAGATCACTTTCATTACGCCTCTTTGCCAGTATCATTCCAATACTCCTAGCCGTTGTATGCTTCGGCACACACTATGAACCGACAGAAACGCAGTGCATTACGTGAACAGTTAGTTGAGAATGCAAGTTTCAGTAATTGTAGATTGTGCTCATTACTGGGATCTTGTGTTCCCTCCACAAGTACTGGCTCTGATAAGTTGACTGCATAATAAAGACCAACACAATTTGTGCCATAAGTTTAATGTATTTACAGGCTTTCAACTGTTGGAAGTAAGTTGAAATTTTTGCGCCACTAGGAGTTGAGTTTGCATACTTTGCGATGAGGCAATGAAAGCTTTAGAAAGTCAATGTGGAAAAATATGGACGACTAGACGTCAAATTGTTTAGCCTTTATTGCGCTTGAGAAATGGCTTGTAAGGATTCACCAGTTGTCACACATCTCACTTTCACTCATGCTGTGGATAGAGAGAATGACATCAACCACCTTGGCGAACGCAGTCGGGTCCAGCCGATATGTTACAACTTGAAAATGTGCACGCACTTATGCACATACAACTCTCTGTAACCAAAACAACCAGATACAAATCGATGGAATCGTGGTTAGTCAAAGAGGAATTCTTATTGGTACTTCCTTTAAGAAGTGCTTTGTCCTTTTTTTGAAGACAGCATTACAATCGAATGCGCCTTCTTGTTTGAGTTTCCATTAGGGCAGCACCATCGTGAATGCCGTGTGGTGCATGCATACACCAAAGCAGTAGACGCGGGTTTTATCTACGTGGAGGCTGGCCGATTCTGTTTATGTAGTCAAAATTCGACCACGCTGGGGGTACATGAAATGCTTGGGCAGTTACTCAGATTAACCTCCGATTCTAAATCTACTGGAGTTCAGCGGTTAAATAAATGGGATAGCTAACTAATAGATTGTTTCTTGGATCAGGTCCAATGAAATTATCAGCTTGCTGCAAAGCCGCCAACATTCTACACCTTAATCTGAGGATGGGAACCTCATTTAAAACGATCAGCAAGTTCAATTGATTATTCCTTGGATCGTGATAGTTTTGATATTTTTTTTAAGAATCAACAAGTAACCTTGTTCATGATTTCCGGATTCCGTACGCTGGATGTGGCACCGATATCTGACGTGTTTTCCAGGAAAGCTGAGAATTTTGAGGCTAAAATGTGGGACAATATCCAACCTCACTATTTCCGCTGAACTGCTTACTAAGACATGAACTTTGCAGTGGTTTGCCAAACTCATTCCTATCCTCAACCGTTCAAACAATGCGATGTGCGCCATCTTGAGTTGCAATACCACATAGTTTGAGATCAATGACAAGAGGAGGAGGAGGAGGAGGAGCTGTATGCATTTCAGTTTTCAATTGTTTATGCGTTGTTACTTTGATAACGCAGTTGCCATGGTCGAAATAAAGGAAATTTAGCAAGTTATTCTAATGCAAATCGCATGCATCTTCAACTCATCCTCAAGTCTTGAGCATTTCAAAACGCGTTTGCATGCACGTCGAAAGTACTCAACAAAAGTGCACGAGGCTTCGTCTGCCTACTGTTCTACCCACTTTCCTGCCCAAATTGAAAATGCCACTGGTATCAGTTCTCATCCCATAGCATTTTGAGCTTTCGACTCAGAGACACGGAATGGTTCCGTGCTGCTCCTTAGCTTTGTAGTTTTGAAGCATCAAAAACGAATCTCTACTCAATGACCTAATTAAGGCGACGCCTAGCCAAGATTCAAAGACTCGCGAAAAATCCAAATTGGTTAGAATTTCAGGAAACGACCAAAAAAAACAAATGTACTATTGAGGGGAAGTGTGATGACGCATCATGTGATGGTTGGAGAATACTGCTGTTGGAATATTTTGATAGAAAAAAACCCAGTTTGAGTTAGAGCTTCCTCTTAGGAATGGTTAGGTTGGAGATGGCTATTTGATGCTATGTGTTGCCATCCAATTGGTTGGACAGTTTTTTCTTCCGATCCTCTCCAAACTTCGTGAAAATGCAGAACCTAACAGGAGCGAAGAGGTGAAAGTTAATCCTTTTGAGATTTAGTTTATTTTTTGAATCGTAGGGCAGACCTAGGAGCAAGTAAAAATGCATTGTGAGACGCCAATAGGTGAAACGGCTTTTACTGATCGCTACAAGTTTGTGAAAGAATAACTGGAGAGAGAGGATGCATAGTGCTTGAAATATTTGGTCGAATCCGAAAGAATCGATGTAATGCTGAGGCGAGCTGTTTGTCTTACCTATGATTTGAATGAAAAGGTGAAGGGAGTGATTATAACGGAGTAAGGATTCTAACATCCCCTCTATTTCATTCCCATTTCTCGAGATTAAGTACCGCAAGGAATGGTACTGTTCAAGCTCCATCACTAACTCGCAAGCGAGGTCCGTTTGGCACTCAATGCATTGTGAGCTCATCTTAAGTTGCAATGTTTTATACAACAATTTGAATTCTATCATCCTTTTGCAACAAGGCAGGTGGAAAGCAGTCAAAATCTAACAAGTTATTTGCCCTATTAGCTCGACTTCACAGCTTCTGAAAGGACTCTGGGACAACCCCAGCGTAGCCTAGGAACTGCATACTTAAAATAATCTACATATTCGCCCGTAGCCATTCAATAACGCAGTTTAACCGCTCATTTGTTAATTTATTATTTTACTAGTCAAGGTGCCGACACTGCTCCAATGCTTTGCGGGCCAGCTGTGGTGCTCATTCACTATTTGATCGCAAACACTACCCGCAGCTTTAACGCCTCATCACACTAAGATGTTTAAGCCACTGAAAAAAAATGAATGCACTCCCGACATCATCCGTTTTGGGAAATGAAAATACAATAGTTAACAAGGATAACGCAATTCGAGTGAATGAGGCTAAAATGTTTAAGCTCTTGAACTTGAAAAGAATGCATTTATTTCTTAATTTATAACTAGTTCTTATCGTTTCAAAGTGTGAAAGCAAAAAATGCTGCTTACTGAAAGCTATTGGCAGAAATTGCAATATTCTGCCAAGCTAAAACACACACACACAGATATAATTATAACGTATTAAACATCGGTTAGTATCTACAAAAGGAAAAAGAATCGGTGTGAAAATTGCTCAGACTTGGCTGCAGAGTCTCTCATCTGTTTCCAGTCTGACCGAACTGTGCGTCGTTTTTGATGCATTCTGATTTATGAAGCCCTGTGAACTGTTAGCTCGATCACCGGCTACACTAGCTGCTCCAACAAATAGAGGATGGTTGCTTAGATTTATCTTTCCAACGATGCGACTGCCACTTCCGTTTGTGCAAACACCGCTATCACTGCTGGCATTGTTGCCTTCCGCCGTCCCGCCCTCATCGTCAGACTTAAAGGTTACTCGGGCGCCGAGGGCACCTCTGCGAGATCCGCCCTGCGAAGAGCGCTGTGGACTACTGGCTCGGCCCAGCGACGCGAGGCTCACATAGGTGGGGTCCGCTGGGTTTCTCCTATAGGGCTGATAGGACTCTTCTGAAACTCCATCGCCATCGCAAATGGTAACTAGACCTGCTCCCTTTTGTAAGTAGGCGTAGTTTGACGGCCTGTCATACTCTATCTGCATCACATTGTCAGACTCATCAGACAGTGTAGGCGGACCATCTCGAAGCAGTCCTCCAGGATTGGCTTGTTGGGTATCCGTGAAGCATCCATACATTGGGTTCACTTCAGGAGGCCCTCCGTCTATATAGTTTCCATCATATTGGTTTGGTGAACCGCCAAACGCTAGGCTTCCGTTTCGCGTGTGCGAAAAGCCATTTTGGTATTGCAGCCAAGGCCAGAAAAAACTTGCCCCTAGTTGGGCTGCTGCTGGATTGTTCATGAGTGGCCAAGGTGCTAACTGAGAGACACCCAGTCCCAGACGTTCAGCATGTGATCGATGTTTTGGCGATGCAAACCTGGACCGACTAGTGGATGGGGCAGGCATATGCAGCAGGCGAAATCTCCACGCCGTTTTAACAGTAACGACAAACCATAGTACAAGCCAAAAGATCATATACACTATTGAGAAGATCACGTATATAAGTGGAAGTTTAATCCGTGCATGCCAATAGCATTGCAGCATTGGGCCGAATAAACAACTTCGGGTAATTACCAGACATGCAAAGGACAAGGCGGAAATGAGCGAGGGCCAGAATGAAATAGAAGCCTTGAGATTGTTTGGTTTGCCGGCAGGTTTGATTTGAATACCGTGCGTGCTGGCCGATTTGGATCGGAGAGTATCGCTGCTGGTTGATAGAGCGGATGATGTGTTCCCCAGAGCCACTGAAGCTTTGCGGGTCGGCCGCCATATCTTTGTGGATACTGCTATTACGCTGGGACCAAATAAATCATTATCTTCCATAACACCATCTTCAATTAGTGCAGAACCTCTGTCTTCCCTTAAAATATTGTCTTGCAATTTTGCAACGTCAAATTCTCCCGCCATTATCAACGTGGCATAGTTGGTCACAGATCGCTGAAACAACAGTTCTCCAAAAGAATACAAAGCCATCAATCCAGCAAGAAGTGATAGAAAGCCGATAGCACTTGTTAGAATGCAAACCCATGTCTCCATCAACTGTAAGTTAATTGGAATAACGTCAACACGGTTTCCATAATTGTCTCGGCTTCCAGCTGTGTATATTTTCAACAACAGTTCTACTGCAGCAGCTTCCAGTAGAATATACCATCCGGTTATTGCAGTGTACAAAGAGAGAAGAGTTGAGAATGATCGGCTCGTAAACCAGAAAGGTGCAGCGAAGCGAATTGTAAGCATCACTAGTGTTATCGCCAAAAGAACAAATTCGGGGCTAAGGTCTGCTGGAATCGACGGATATGGGTGACCGATGAATTGCTTACTGCTTTCCTTTCTTTTATAATTTGCACCGAATCCAGAGAGAATTTGACTTTTGTCTAAGGAGGGACTCGAAACATTTAAACGTGGATAAACATCCAGCCACCCACGAAAGCCGTTTAGAAACCAATCCAAGTTTGAATGCCAGACGTATTCTGTAAAGTAAGCATTTATAATTAGGTGGCCTTAGCAATGTTGACACTAAATTGCAAAGTCATGCTCTGCAATGATACAAGGTGCCATCAATGCTTATGCCATTTACCTCATAATGCCAAATGACAATGCATAAATGTTTGCGAGCATGCAAAGTCCAAATTTCAACTTAGATGTTGGTGATTTCAGACCATATTCCATTTCAGCTCCAAAAGTGAAAGCGTTTTAGTAAATGGATGCGGTTAACGTCTACTTTGTGTACTGACTGTACTGATGGCATGCTAAGAGCACCTTGTGCATTCGTGCAGCGAGGGCGCAGCACCGGGATCGGGCGAGCATCGCTGTCGACGGTGTTTGCGCAAACACGGTGACCCATGAGGCAATGGCATGACTCATCAGTCTGCGATTGACAACGCCCGCCCATTGCAGCATCGCTAATGCAGCACGCTAATCAAGGGCGAAAAAGATAAGGTTGCTCCTCACTCCTATGGGCGTAAATGATTGCTTCGATGCGCTAGAAAGGCAAAACTGCGTCCATATAATTGTATCATTTCTGTCCTACTTCGACCAAACAAGGTTTTCACACGTGGCCTCTTGACTGAGACCTGTAATTGACTGTTCCACTGCTCACTGTCCATTAACTCATGGTGGCAGTGAATTAGTAAATCCTTGCATCAAACTTATTTATGTGGCCAAATAGGTACGGATATTGTCGCGTAAATGAGACACCAAAGTGAAAAGTAACTCAATTGCGATAGTGATAAATAAAGTTGTCACTTTTGCGATTCGATGTCCGTGTAAAACAGCTAGTAGCTCAAAAGTGAAGCCCTATTAATAGACTGTGTCCTTTCAATTCCTGTAAATTAAACCACTTCGCCACCAATCATGGTCTTAAGAACGAAACATGTATCAATGCAATGAAATTGAGCGCCAATTCCTTTTTAGTAATCATCATCTATGCATGGATTTTAAAGCAAATTTGGACTGACAAGTTTGTGGTACGGTTTTATCGGTGCTAGAAAGGCTGCCTTGCAAGAATTTTCATGGTTTGGTGCCAGGAGTTGTAGGCTTTTTATTTGAAGATTTTTGAACTACAAGAAATCCTAGATAATGGCACTCTTGTACAAAAGCGTTACTACAGTAACCCGAACATCATTGCATTGAGCGTAACCTAAGCAACCACTTCTAACGTTTATGTCAGGCGTTTTCGACGGTTTAACCTCTGAGACTCAGACTCTACAAATAATACGAGCCATCGCACTCGCTCATTGTCCCGCTTACGCTATTTTTGGTTAAAAATAAGGACAGCACAAGAATCATGAGGTAATTCCCTATGTTACCACAAGAGGGGGACAATAGCTTTTCATTACACCTTTATCGAATAATAGATGTCACAGAATGAAACCATCTGCCCAATAAATCCACCAGTAATGTTTGTCGCTGCAATCATTTGTGAGTAACACTCGATTATGAAGGCGGTGTTCCTTTGAAGGTGCTTGGATAGCTTCGGAGTGAGATTTAAAAAAGTCAGGCAATCTGGTATTCCTTGCATTCGTCCGTCAAAAGGCAGTTACCATTACGATTATGCCAACTACGTTTCTACCAAACCACATTTCTGATGCAAAGTATGCGAAGAAAATAATTGCGTCGGAAAGATGGTTTAGCAACCTTGTGTTCTGCTTACACTTTAGACAACTAGAAATGTTTCGTAGGAACGATAGGGACAACTTTTGCATTGCACACCCCAAAGGTGGAACAATTATGCGTAAAGCATCCCAAAATTGCCAGTCTAGACAGATTAGATTGGGTTGCTTTGAAATCACAAGCGATTTTATATAAAAACCGTACTAATAACCAAGATTCAAAGAGAGCATCACAGTTCGTATAGTAAGCGGGTGTCCAACGTGACAATGAACCTACAAAGAAAGTGGTTGGAATGGATTATTTCTCCGCCCTACGGGTGGGCGTTGCATGCAACCCTTCCAACTCGTGTCGCATTGTTGCATTGACTTATTCAATGCGCGAGAATTTTTCGTGACCAAAGGTCATTTAACATTCGACAGCGAGAGCGAGAAACGGATTTGCCTGGTTAATGGGACGTCTAACGTTTCCCCGGTTGGTATGATAACAACTAGATGTTATGGCCAATACATCTGCTTCACCTTTAACGTTGTGCAATACACTAACACCTTTGGCCGATTCCTCCAAGCGTACCGATCCTATGTGGGTATTTATGCAAAGTAGTTTTAAATAAAGTCTCCTCTCAGTTCCGAAGTACGACTTCTTTATGGGACTCAACACTGACGCATTTTATTTGTCCGGTCTTGTAGCAGACCCTAATCTTAGTCTTGATCAAAGTTCTAAAATGCGCAAATTAAGGAATGACCGAAAAGAAGCCGGTTAGCGCAATATTTGTTCTACTTGGATGGATGTCTTAATCGTAGCAAGTTTTAAACATACACATCTTAGCGTGACCAAAACGAAGACACTTGTGGGCTGCGGCTCTTCTCAAACAGTCGAGCACTGGGTCGAGTAGCGTGGGAACTCATTAAGTCAGTACAGTTTCGCTGAATCCATTTTCTTTTACACTGTGCTTGACAGTGCACGCGCCTTAAGTGCTTAACAAAAAGGCGCATAATCAGAAGGTTTCGGGATTTCAGTCATGATAAAAGGCATTACACATAAATGCGATTATTCTCATTAAATACGCAACTAAATCGTTCAGTTCCCCACTACTTTATTCGCGCTTTTCCTTTTTCCGTCTTTCTTTCTCACACGTTTAACATTAATGCGTAAACTCATAAAGGTTACATCAGTCTAGAAGTTAGTACATACCAGCTTAAAAGTACCCGATGTTATGTGTCCTAATGCCAACATGTTGATGCTTGCTCTCGCGACTAGGACGGTACCTTTCATCGAGCGTTGTTAATAAGTGAACACTGGAATGCATTAACATGAACAGAACAATAGGTTTAAAACTAGTCAATTCATGCAGAGCATTTGGACTTTCTAAAATCGTCAGAATTGAGAATAACCTCTGAATACCGATGCTTTATAATGGGTGATGGTGTTGCACTTGAACCGCTCGAATTGCACAGCAATTTACGAACGACCTGGTAAGGGTGGGAAGATGTCAAATTATTTGCTCCGGCTTCTTCTACATAGAAAGGTAGACTTACCAGGTGGTATTGCCTCATTTTTAATCTGTTCCGCTTCAAAAACGCAGACGGGTAGTAGGAGTGCGAATGCAATGAGAACATGGATGAGGCAGGCGAAAGGACGCAGTTGCTGTCTTGTTGCAACATACCAGCTGGCATGTTCAAGAGCGTCAACCCTGTCCTGGATGATGAAGGATTCAAAGTCGGGAGAGTGGGTGGCCTCGTTCAATGACTGAGTGGAGCGAGCGATACGTGCCCTTAGACGCTCTGCCGCCTCTGGGTCGGCTGACCGCTGTGCCAGTCGGAAACACGGCAGTTGGGCTAGCATGGCGTGCAGGTGAAGACAATCTCTACCAAGAACTATTCCATCATTCGCCGAATGCCCCACTCTTGAAATTGATGCGTAAATTAGCAAGGGAAAGAGGCACACGACAACAACTAGACATGCCACCTGAAGATTCAGTGGAAAACTCCAATTCCAATCAAAACCAAATCGCGGATGAAAGGACTGTGTTTTGAATTCTCGATACCGAACAATTGCCAACCAGAAAATTAGACAAGTTGATAGGACCACGAACACTGCATACCAAAGTTTCCAGAGACTGTCAAATCCACCAACACAGTATGCATTCATTTTGGTTTGGCGGGGTGGTTTGTTACAATGTGACGATGGTACAGTGATCGGGAAATCCCAAATGCGTTTTTTCGAGTGGTAGAAGGCTGGATGAGAATTTGCGTCTGGAATAGACATCCCGCCCAAATGTATCAAAATGAGTTCGTTGTTTTAGGTACTGCAGCTACACATGCTCTGCCGGCGCTCCATGAGCAATATTTGCGTGTTTGAACGGAGCATAACCTCACCCAATGAGAAGGGACTACGGTATACACCTCTCGCTGATTGGTTGACTGGAGGCGTGGCCGCTGGACATAACTAAGGGCGTATGTTGAAATTCTCATCAAAGCGGAAAACGATATTTTGTAGGACTTTGATGTAGCCTTACCTATAGTTTACTGAGGATTTATGGGACTTGATAGCTTCACATATCGAAACCGACCTTTAGCATTAATAATTTATTTGCTGAAACAAAACCAAGGTAAAGGTTATTCCAACCTTTTTCGCGATATGTTTCTATTTTATGGAGAGAATATTAGCCCAAACTCTGTACTAACTGTTGGTTAATATCAGATATTTGGACATGCGCAAGACCACAGTTTTCCTCTCCTCCCAGTTCATTCACTTTAACTCCTCTTCAGTTATGCAACCTGAATCCACCCAAGGAGGCCCGCGCAAGAGTCGGTAATGATTGTTAACATTAACGCAGTGGATTCGGTTTCTCTTTTTTACAACTAGCTCTGGTCAAAAGTCGAATGGCTGCGTATTCTTTGAATCTAACAGAATGGTTCAAAATTCGCTAAATAACAAACCCTGAAACTGAAAGTCAACGAGCATTTCGGTCTTTGATTCGTCTGCGGAAAATGTATAGGATCTGTTAACTTCAGCTGGCTCTCTCCATTTCACAAAGTCCTTATTTGATCTGTTCACGATCGGTGGTACATCAGTGACTGAATGCAGGCTAAAACACGCTACCTCCCGTTCAAAATGAGCTCACCGACCTTAAACTACGAGTTCACATTACTGTCCCTTCTTAATTCCGACGTAAATCCCAGATTACTATTTTATAAGTTTTCTCAGCATCTGTAAGCCTGAACCTTGGAATACATTGTTGGAACAGTGCATATATGACCGACGCGAAGTTCGAACCACTGTTAGTGGGTCAATTGCCCTCATTCGCCCAAGCAATATGTAAATTGTAAACTTTGAGAGCCAGTTTTAGTTTATAGATTGCGTTGACTGTTAAAGCTATTTGCCGGTCCTTGGTGAAAACAAGTCATTCGTTTAATTTTTGGACTTTGAATTTCACGTACATTCTAAGAAAATCGGCGGATTCTTGTCATGTCACGGCTTTTAAGCTATCAGAGAATAAAATTCGGACGCAATTGCAAAGATTTGGAAGACAAAGCTTTGTATGCTTTCCCCCGCTGAGCTCCCTGATTTTGTTAAAACAGAATGAAGCAGCGTCAAACTTCGAATCGCGCTCCTTGATTTACCATCAGTTTGGCAAGTACGAAGTTTAGTTAAATTAAGCATGGATAGTGTTAGAACTGTTGCCGATAATGTTGGCGTTATATGCCATTGTAACTTTTGCTTGAAAGGCAGATTCGAGTCCAGGGTCTTAAAAGGCCTTGTAGTAGTTATCGCCTATTGTATTCCTCGGAACGGTCAACGCTGTTGAATTAATAGGAGCTTTACTTGCTTTGGTGGTTTCCAGATAGGTCCAGTTGGAGTATTTACGCACGCGCTCATGCACTGCGCAAGCAAAAGGTGATCACCTACGTAGTGGGAAACGCTCAAAACGATGCATGGAATAGGAAAGAATGGTGGAAGTGCGACGTTGCCTATGCATCATACTTGTTTTAGCTAAGGCGTCACATGCCTTTAAAAATTCAGCTACACGATAGGCAAATATACTACTTTATTGAATTTAAAATGCAGATTTGATTCGGTTCAATGCGGCAGAAACGGGTTGGCGTGCAGAAAAATACAACACCTTGTTTCTGTAACTACCCGCTCTCTGGCGGTTACTTTGATATTCGTCCTTCGAGAAAATTTAAGTGTTACATGCACAATCTAACTTCAAGGTCCCAATGCGTAAGGTGTGCAGTTTACGATCGGTAAAAGGAAGGGAAATGTAGAGTCAGCTGCAAATGCAACCATTAAAGTTTCTCATTGTTAAATAGAAGTATCTTTTTATAACTTAAGAATCATTGATTGGAAGGTTCTCAATCTACTACATTAGCATTGCGATTGTGCGGCAATGTTTTGGTGGTGTTTTCTTTAAATAGGTTTGCCTAATAACTCTTGCTAGACCGCTATGTAACATTCAATGGTTGCTAAGTAAACATGACCAAATGCGACTGTAATACTTTGTTTATGCGATCACCCAAGGCCTAGCAGTTACTTTGGTATCCGTCTGGCCCTTGTATGCGCAGGATGGCCTTCAGGCAAAGCTCAGGTCTGATTCCCTTTCTCGCCCTAGAATACACGTATTCAGCTTCACCTACTACCTTCATCTACCAGATGAGAAGTCTCGGACCGCTACACTGACAATCAACTGTCCGGAAATTAAATGTTTTGGACGCTAAGGGTCTCACAAAGGCAGTTCTGTGAATACAATACCAAGAGACTAACTATGAATGATATTGCAACCTTTCATGTCCATTAGCAAACCATAAAATTTTAAATCGCAGACGATGAGTTAACTGTAACCACACGTGGAAAACCGTATTTGCGATTGCAGTGTGTGAAAATCCACTTGTTTTGAGTACTTCATCCTCTTGATATTACCGTGGCTAATTTTTAAAATTTCCTCGATACACTTGATGCCTAGCGGTTACAATAAGTTTCGTCTGGCCCTTGTGAGCGTAGACTGGCCCTCAGACCAAGCTTAGACTTAGTCCCTGTTTTTCTCCCTGCAATACATGTATTCGAATCTACTTGCTACCTTCTTTTGTCTGGTAGGAAGTCCCGGAAAGATGCAATGTTTGTCTCTTATGTAACATAAGCAAACATTATAACCACTAAACTTCACATAATTCTTAAAATTTTTCATTATTCCGTGTCAATCACAACTCATGATATTGCATTGAATTGGATGCATTTGAAACTAGCAGAGATTATTCACAGCAGATAGTTTTCTTTATTTGTAATATTTGTCTCGATAAACACTTATGTGTGTGGCGTCTCAAAACGTCCTACCGAGTAGAAGAAGACAGTAAGTGAAGCTGGATACATGCATTCCAAGGAAAATAAAGCGACTCGGTCTGAGCATGGTCTGACCGTCAAACGTCAGATAGTCGTCTAAACAAGGCATCACAATGGGATTGACGAATATTTTGTATTTGTTTAGCTTCCTTGATGTGGTCTAGCCCTAGGGTTAAGCAAATTCCATTCTCTTCTTACCCTCCTTGAAAAAATGCATTCAATTCTACTTGGTGATTTAACCTCTTTTATGGAGAGTACAGTACTTGAGTACGGTAGGTATATCCGTCTTTCAGTATTTGCATTACGGTCAAATGCTTAATGGCATTACTTTATCCTCTCTTGTTTATGTAGAAGGACAGGTCATGTTACAAAATTTATTGGAAGCAAAGTAGGCCATGTCAAGCTACCTGACACCCTTTGTATAGCTTTCTTAAACTCTGGAGTATGTATTTGGAGCTCCATGGATAAAAGAGAATAAGTGCAAGCCGCGTTAACATGCAGGTTAATGGCATTAACATGTACTGAAAAAGCGAGATCTCAATTATTTAATTAAATAAGCTCGCAAATCTATCCCGTTGGAAATATACTCCTTACTTTTACACATGAATATAACCAAATCCATCTCAAGTGATTATTGGTGCTTCGAAGATAGGTAAAGGTCGCGTATTCCGTGCACAATTTGCCTGTCTTGCTTCAATTTTAGCGTGTTTCATGCGAGTTACTGACGCCCACCACTGATGTATAGCTTAATCACACACACGAACAGCTGGTGAAAACACTTTTTGGCACATTTTAATGCTAGTTCTTCGCATCGGCATTTGGTTCTTCTATGCCTTGCGAGTTTTTTGCGTTTGACATCTGCGATTTCCTCTAATGGTGTACTCAAGGCGTTAGATAAAGGGGATTTGCAGAGATTTCGACATTTTAGGTATAAATCAATGTCTGCGGAGAAACGTTCCTCTGACCTGTCAACTAAGCGTCGATTAGAACGTCTGCGTCGGCGAAAGCGCGACGTAGAGTCGATTAGGCGACACTTGGAGGCGGGTGGAGAGTACATCTCCAAACGTGAAAGAATCCGTTTGTCTAAAGAGAAACTGCGGCAGAATCTAGCCACTGGAATTAAATTTTGCATTGACTGTTCGTTTGAGGATGATATGTCTGCAAAGGCAAGTTGGCTCTCTCTTATCATTATCGTTTTATCATTTTAATAATGTTGAACTGGCTTATCTTCCGAGTAATACCACTTCTGATTGCCAAAATTTTAATATGCTTTTTCTTCATGCTGAAATTGGAACACACGTATTTTCTTTGCCGTAGGTGCTAAGTTTATTGGCTTTCTCTTATCCAACTGACTTGATTGTGACTGTCTCTTGAAATTAATCCATCTCCTTCGGATTCTTGTGTCTGAATAGTGTTTGGTGCTGTGCTATTTAACTGTTTTTTGCATGCATCCTCCTTTGTACAGGAGCGTTCCAAATTCGCTCAACAGTTATGCCGAATCTATGGCGTTAATAAGAAGGCGACTAATCCCTTTAGTCTACACTTAGTCAACTTCAACACAGAAGGCCCATTGGCTAAATGCTGTCGGAAAAAATGTTCCGGATTTGATAACTACCAGGTTGGTCCTTGATTTATGAGGGATAGTGTCTAAAAGTATAAGTCCCGCACAGATTCTTTTTCTCAGATTGGATTTCATGCCGGTTCACCCACCAATGTATTCAAATCCAACCAAATTTTTTATCTCTCTCCGGACGCGCCCGACCCTCTACTTGATCTTGACAGATATTCCGTTTATGTTGCTGGTGGTCTCGTCGACGAAAACATTACAAAAGTAAACCATCTTTTCTCCTGATGATAACTTGTTGATACTTTCCATGGGTCTTATACGGCTATTTTCCCCTTACTTTTTCTCAATCACATATTTTTATGTCGAAGGCTGTTTTAATGCTTCTGTCTGCGGATATCTTATCTATCCTCGCCATTCTCCTATCCGTTTACTTAAATAATATGTATTGAACGCAAAGATCATGACCACTTCCATTTTCGAATCACGCGAAGTAGTCCCACTTCGACGGATGATGGACAAGTAATAGCAGTCACTTTTTCTTAAGGGAAAAAGTTTGGACACGGCGTCGAAGTTAGGTATACCAGCCGTACGACTACCCATTAAGGAATTCGCCCCTGGCGACTGGTCTCCTCGAAATCCCGTCAAATCCTCTGCTCTCCCACTGAATATCTTGGTAGAAATTCTCCTTGCCTTCCTGCAGAACCGTGATTGGAGAACAGCCCTGGACCAATGTCTGCCTCATCGCTTTCGCACCCGAAATAACTCAGCCTAGCAAAAAACATTTATACTGTGTATGCTCAAATGCATTGGCCTATTCTGTGACACGCACCTTAACCCGGCGGACACGCCTCGGCTGTTCGTAATTCCTCATCCCAAAGCTATCCTCTAGTCAATTAACCTCTACAAGGTTTATCACTGGAATATGAATCTAGCAGCACAGTTTCCCACTAAAATTCACTAGTTCTAGATCCAGGTTCTTAATAAAGTGCGCTCATTTCCGACTTGGGCTCCATCTCCGTAGCGGTGTGGCAGTAGAAACAAAGCCAATGAATCTGGAACCAAGTCATTGTCAGTGCTGATGGCGTCTCCCTTCCCCTTTTCTTTATGATTGAATGATTTTTTTTCTAACCAACATCAGATCTGTCTAAGCGCCCAAATATTTTATTGTGCACCGTAGTGAACTTAAATTTGGGTTAGCAAAATCGAAGGAAAAAAATATATTATTAGTAAAAAACAGCACAAGCACTTGGTGCTTCTATTTATCGATGTTCAGACGACTGGGCTGGTGAATAACTGTTAGGGCTGCTGGGAGAAGGGGAGGTTGGTCTACGAGAGGTCATCATATAGTGCGAGGCCGAACTCTGAAAGGAACTAGAGGGGCTAAAGGTTGCCGAAGGACAGTAGGATGTGCCGTAACTTGTGCCGGTCAAGCCAAGACCACTGATGCTCGAAGTGCCTCCAGTGCCCGTCGCACCACCGTGTGAGGACAATGGATAATTGGGTGTTGCAGGATAAGAAAGCGGAGAGTGACTGGGGCCACTCAGTCCTCCCGAAGTGCCACTGATTGGAGAGCTAGGAGCTCCCAAATGCGGGGAGTAGGAGAGCATAGAAGAGCCGCCAAACGATGGCTGTGGACTGTATCGCGGAGCTGAAGGCGAACCATAGTACAGCTGTGGAGGGCTGGGATGACTAGAGTTGAAGTTAGACAAACTGTTTCCTAGGGAAGACCCCGAGTCAATACTCGGGGAGAACCCACTAGGTGTGTCTGAACCACCCGTGATCCAGCTTGAAGCTGCCCGTCCAGACGAGCTCATGCCTACACCGGGCATTGCAGGGCTTCCGGGGCTATAAGAATCAAGACTATTCGGAGATGATCCCGACGGGGATACAGATGGCCCGAAACCGAAACTCGATATGTTGCGTTGTGGAGAGCGTGGTTGATAACCCACTGAGGCAGGCGAGTAGAATTGCTGCCCAGAGTAACTTGGTGAGCTGCTGTCGGCTCCAAGACTAAGACTCGACGAACTCCCAGTACCACCGTAGGTTGGTTTTGACAATGGAGAATAGCTAGCATCGGCACCTAAGCTCAAACGACTAGCGTACCCAAAAGAACTGCCACTTCCACTACCAGAATGACCTGGACTAGATCCCGGTGAACCGATCTCAGTTTGTGGAGTTCCAGCGTACGAAAGAGGGCTGGCAAATCCCGACATAGCAGCCGGTGAGAAAAGCACATCAGGCGTCCTTGGGCTGTCGAGCTGTGGGCTCCGACCAGGAGAGTATGGAAGATCGTGTCTGTAGGCCTGCGGAGAAAACATCGCCTCGTGAGGTGTAGTCATACCACCCAAGCGACTGACGTAAGGCGACGCCTCAATAAGAGATCCTGCTGGGGAAGCAGCAGTGTCCCAAGGAGTACTACCACCAGGGCCACTGGTCAATCCGGAGAGGCTGTCTCCAGGTGTAGCCAAACCAAAACGAGGACTAGCCCATGCTCCAGCGGAAACATCGAAAACGCCACCGTTAAACAGCCCAACAGACCCAACGATCGGAATAGGCTGAGCCTCTTGACATTTGGCCGAGTTGAGAAGAAGGTCGAACGATCCTGTACCAATTTTAGCAAGCTGACCCAGCATTACATTCTCGGACACACCCTGTAAAGGATCGCATTCAGCGTGACTTGCTGCCTCCATCAGTATATCCACTGTTTCTTCGAAGCTACAGCGCGCCAGAGCGCCGGTATCAAGACGGTTTATTCCATGGCGTGTAATCGCCATCAAGTGACCTTTCACGGTCATTACGTCACAAAGGAGGGCCAAGTGCCGGTAGTTGACATAGGAACCATCAAAGGATATGACATCGTGCATCTCTGTTTCAATTGCTTTACGAACGGCCTCGATGCCCAGAGCCTCGAAAATTTCAACGATATCGTTACTCACTGTACGTGCTGAGTCGACATCTCGCTGAGCAAGCACTTTCATTAAGCAGGTGCCATCTGTCTCAAGAATCCACTCAGTGACGCAATTAAAACTACCATCTTTACGAATAACGACACGCTGCTTATCGGTGGTCTTAGGCTGGTGCATATAAACTTTTGATATCTGAGGAATGCCTTGCAAAGTGATATCCGTAAGCAAGTTTGCCTCTATAAAGCGCAGGAAAGTATCGTCTTCCATCTTATCAGTGGTTGTATCAGCTTCCTTCATGTTTTGCTCCAAATCACTATTCATAATTCGTATGCGCATTGCCAACTTCAAATTATCATCAGGAATGTGGCAGATAAGATCATTACCAAAGGACTTGGCGATTTTGTCTGCAATTTGTTCCATAGTCAGCTTTTTGCCCGTCATTTGCTTACGCGCAAGCTCAATTCTAAGCATCCAAGAGCTTATAGCGTCCATATTGAAATCAGGTAAATCGTAATAAGTAGAAACCCAATCTCTGTCCTCTTTTACGACGGTATTTTTTGGGTCTGGATCGTAGTAAATTGATGTACAGTTCACTAATTTGCGGAGTGTTGTATGCTCCAGGCGAGCGACCACATCTTTCGCGTGTTCAGCATCTCTAGCTGCCTGTCCGGTCAGATAGATTGTCATTGAGGGAGTTTTCGGGCGTTTGCTGACATTTATAATTTCCTTCAACCGAGGCACACCAAGAGTCACGTTCTTGGCCGAGACACCAGCGTAGTGAAAAGTGTTGAGTGTCATCTGCGTGGCCGGTTCACCGAGGGACTGCGCTGCCAGAGCACCAACCATTTCACCAGGGTGAATCTGCGCCTGTTGGAAGCGATTTCGAATTTCACCCAACACCCAATCCAATGCATCATATGTTAGGCGATGTTCTTGAATTACCTTCTTTGTACAAAGCATCGATCGAATAAGGCAACTCATGAGTAAGACAGCGTTTGAATTAGCCTCTTTGCTTAATGCATCCTCACCGGGCACCACTACCAAGCGCTTACACGTCTCGCGTACTTGCTCCACCACCTGCCTTGGGTGAAGGTTCGTTTTAGAGAGAGGATCAATTTCAAACAGCTTTTGTGCATTCCAAATGAGGCGCCCTATGTTGCAAGGCAAGACAACACGATCCTCAGGCTTGGTAATGATTGATCGTAGAACCTTGCGATCATTGCACAACACGTCCCATTCAGCATCTAATTCAGCCTGAGTTTCCGGGTCCGTTGCTAAGCTTCTAACCAAATCGTCAGGCATACAACGCCGGAGCGCACGCTCGTTATTCAAATCAAAGCGAAAGCTGTGTTCGAAAGCCTCATCCGATGGTTTGAAGGTTGGCAATCTTTGAAATTCAACGTGGGCAGCATCCAAGCCATCTTCGCCATACCGCAATTGGATAAGTTGGTTGATTTGATTGCGCACTGTACCATCATACTTAACCATTACGGACTCCATTGCCTTCATCAGTCGGCGTTGGATGTAACCGGTTTCAGCTGTCTTGACAGCTGTGTCAATTAAGCCTTCACGACCACCCATTGCGTGGAAGAAAAATTCGGTTGGTGTCAGACCCGCTAAATAGGAGTTCTCAACGAATCCTCTTGACTCAGGGCCGTAGTCGTCTTGAATAAAGTGGGGAAGAGTGCGATGCCTGAAACCGAATGGCACACGCTTACCTTCAACATTTTGTTGTCCAACACAAGCGATAACTTGAGAGATGTTTATTCTCGAACCCTTCGATCCCGCAACAACCATAATATTAAAGTTATTATATTTCGAGAGCGATTTTTGCGCACAACTACCGGTCTTCTCACGGGCCTCATTTAAAATTTTATTGACGTGATTCTCAAAAGTTTGTCGCAGTGTATTACCAGGTAGGGGCTGGAAATCATAATTGTGTGCCTGATCAATAATGTCGAAAACAGCATCTTTGGCCTTTGTAATAGTTTCTCCTATTTGCTTGCGAGTTGCTTGATCATAAAGCGTATCTGCAATGCCTATTGTATGACCTTCAATCAACAACCAGTTGTTGATAACGGTTTGTATGTTGTTGAAAAACATGCCTACAACGTCGAAACTATTCTCCAGAGCTACCAGGTGGATGAGAGAACCGGAAGCAGAGCCAAGCGTCTTTTTACACAAAATTCCTGCGACAAGATCGCCATCATCAATCAGAACCTTCGTATCACCTGGAGAAATCCAACGGTAAGGTCCATCATCTTCGCCCTCCGGGTGAGTACTATGGGTTCGAATACAGTTTACACGACGAGGTATAATCAAGCTGAAAAGCTGTTTACCGGTCCACAATCGCTGTGGCTTGTAAATAGCCGGCTTTGGCATACGGCCGTTCCAAGTAGGAAGATACATTAAGAGATTCATCATATCAGCACGATTTATAAAGACATCCCGTTGAGTCATTTTATAGGCAGCAGTGAGTGAATCCTGCACGATGCTCATGACAGGCTTATTGGCTTGAGGCGTTATGACAAGGCGCGGAACTTGAGCGAGTTGACTAATCTCTGCCTTTGTTTCAACAGATTGAGGCAAATGGAGATTCATTTCATCACCGTCGAAATCAGCGTTGTATGGTGAAGTAACAGATAAATTTAAACGAAATGTTGACCATGGCAAAACACGAACTCGATGGCACATCATGGACATTTTGTGTAACGTAGGCTGACGATTGAAAACAACAAAGTCATCGTTTAGCATATGGCGCTCAACTGTGTACCCAACTTGGAGAGTCAAATCAGCTACCTTTGGATGATAGCGAAGGTCGATTCGGTCACCATTTTCTCGAACAATAAACTTCGCTCCAGGATACATGGTCCCATTTTGAACCAATTTCTGCAGGAAATCTATGTTAGATTGTGTAACTCGTTCCGGATAAGTTAGGTTCTGCGCAATCGTTCGAGGAACACCAACTTGATCGAGGCACAAATTAGGGTCAGCAGTTATAACAGTTCGTGCAGAAAAATCAACACGCTTCCCCATCAAGTTGCCTCGTATGCGCCCGGCCTTCCCTTTCAGTCGTTGCTTGATTGACTTCAAAGGTCTTCCAGACTTCTGAATAGCTTTCGGAAGTCCAGGAATATCATTGTCAATCAAGGTTGCCACATGGTATTGCAAAATTCTCACATCCTCCGACAAGATATGAGCTGCAGCCCCATTTTGCTCGTCCCGACGCAACTGATTGTTAGCTTTAACTATGTCAGCCAACTTATGTGTTAAGTCATCTTGGTTTCTTGCTGCACCGTACATTACAATAGCAGGACGAACCGCAAGAGGAGGAACGGGAAGAACGGTGCAGATCATCCAATCTGGACGGCCATACTGAGGATTTAAGCCAAGTGCTATGCAGTCCTCATCAGAAATCCTCTTAAATACTTCAAGGACGCGCTCAGCTGTTAAGCTAGTCTTTTTCTCTTGAGAGATCTCATTCTGAACTTTCCATTCCGCTGTCATATCGAGGCCCACACGCCGGAAATTGGGTTGGTAACGTCCGCAACCAGTCCTTGTAGTCTATAAGAGCAGAGCGTTAATCATATTATATTGTATGAACAAAACTAGAAACTCACTTTACCTTGCTTTCCAGTTTTAGCTCTGAACCCTCATTAGTGAGTTCTTCTGGTGGAAGGCAGGCAGTTCTGGACTTGCACTCTTCGTACATGAAAGCAAGGCGTCGACGAGGGTCATTCTTGGTCTTTCGCTGAATATCGGCTATTCGCGGGACTTGAGTATCAACAAGGAGCTTGGAACAATAAAAACAGACACAGCGAAGAATTTTTAGTGTTTTCTTTAAAAAGCCGATATGAAATACGGGCTTCGCAAGCTCAACATGAGCAAAATGACCTGGACACGAAGCCGTATTACCACTACAGGTTTGACAGATCGAGGTACGATCAACACATCCCTGACGGGGATCCATCAGACCTCCAAGTTTGGGCTTTCCTCCATCCATCGTTTCGGCGTACTTAATGCCCCCATCAGGAACCACAGACATTTGTTTCTAAACGGTAAACTAGAGGTGAGATGAACTTCATAAAAGGAACAGCACAAAGTAGTTTAATACGCAATTGTAAACAAAACGTAAAATGCCTCATGGAATACCTATAAATTGAGATAAACCTCCAACTCCATCCATTTAATATATGATAAATCGTGATGGAAGAAAGATTTGCTTAGGTAGAGAGTAATTAAGAACATACCCAGGTGAGAAAACAGTACTCTTGTAATGAAAAATGGCATAAAAAATGACGAAGCGCACGGTGAAGCACATGTATAAGCACTGGACACCATACTAGCATAAATTATTCCGCACCAATCAAACAACTCACTTTGCATATATAGAAAGCATTAAAACTACCATATTGCACACTTACTATTTCATCTGGACTAAGAATACCAAACTGGAGAACTTTGACAGTCCTCTCCGGGACCAACAAACCGTCCATCAAGAACAGGTATTATTCAGTACAAGGACAAAATGCGAGGTCAATTAAAACAAGTATTTTGATTGCAAATATGGCCAACCAATCTATCTGTTAATGTTACAGTCAATACTAGTCTTATTTCGGATTCTAAGGTTGTTCGATATAAAATATTACTGCCATTCAAACAAAAAATTAAAAATGCTAGCTTTTTGCCATGTGAAATGAAGTACCTACTAAGTAAGTGACACCTCTTTGAACCCAGTAAAGTGCTAATATCTAGTTTTAACACATAAAAAAGCTTAATTGTTGAACAAATGAAGTACTTTTGGGACAATAATACTTTACCTTTATCTCCCTCTGGGTACCTAGAGTTTTGAAACTTCAATATTCGCAATCGCAGCAATGCTCTACCGCACTGAACCTTCCATTACTATAAATACCCGACTCCTACTCAAATGTCTTCCACTCTCGTGAAAAACCGCCTGTGTGCATGCCGACTGGTCACCGAGTTTCATTGAGCATGCAATTTGCAACAGCATGCACGCTACAACAGACAGACGAGGACTAAGCGGATGACGCCCACGAGGGGGCGAGATCAGCGGCTACGCTCGACTAAGCGCCTACCCCACCGCGAACACGCTCAGAGCGAATGGTAAATTTTGAGGCGCTGATACGTGTTTACTCGTTGTCACATGTACACAGTCCACACAGAATTACACCACAGTCAGATTACACATGAGAAGTAACAGAGGAACACGATCAATGAGGTAGGTTGGCTACAGTGATTCCTTCTCAATCACCGACAGAAAAAAAGCGGGAACGCCTTGCAATGGGTTCAGAAGGCTTATGAGCTTCAATTTCTTCAACATCAAGGAACAGCCTTCCAGCATCAATGGCGGCTTGCGACACATCCACAGCGCCATCTAAGCGCAGCACAGGATTGAGAAAGTCAAAATCAGCAAAGAGCTCTTCAATTTTTTCAAATGTCAAACCGGCCTCTTCCAGTGCTCTAATGTTTGGAGGGCTGGTGGCCAAATGACGTACACCTTCAGCATCAAGGATGAATCGAAAACCCTTCTTCATGGAGGGCATACATTTGCCATAAGCGGATTCCAGGAGCAAAGAGTCATCTGGGTCAATATTGCACTTATTATGAGAGACAGAACTCCCCAACTCGGAAGGATCAAAGGGCGGCTTAATACTGCAAGAACATACCTCATCCCAATTCACATGCTTGTAAAATCGCAGACTTTTGACACCAGAAATGTCCGGACGCTCCTTGTGATTAGTTTTTAAACAAGCGTTGAAGAAAGACTGAAGAGGCTTTGAGAGATTTCGGAAATTTCTTATCTTCCATCGATCTGCTCTCACCCGCTTGACACCTATGTGAAATCATAAGAAACTACAAACCGTACCAGATACAATGTCAGCCATTAAAATGGCTAGACTCCATACATCAGCCTTGGTTGTGATTTCTATACCTTTCGCGATTTCCGGTGCCATAAAAAGAGGGGTACCGCAAAAGTCGTCGTGATTTGGTGGTTCTTGTTTTCGCGTGGCATCATACGAACGATCAAAATCCGTAATAAGTACATGACCCGAGTGAGAGAGAAGAACATTTTCTGGCTTAAGATCTAGATGAACGATCTGCATGGCGTGAAGATGTTCTAGTCCGCAGACAATTTCTGAGGCATAAAATCGAGCATCAACTTCACTGAGACAGCCATACTTGGACATGAGGTCGAATAGATCGTAGCCGCTTCCCCTGCGAAGTACCAAGATGGGAGATCCATGAATCCGAAAACTGTAGAATAGAGTAGGCAGAAATGGCGACTGATGATCTTCAAGGGCAAGGCGCACGAGGATATGGTGCTCCCGAATAGCACAAATTACAGCTGATGGATTCTGGAGGAAGATTCTTTTAAGTGCGTATGACTTGCCCTTGTCACCCTCATTTGCAGAAATTACTTCATAAACCATCGAGTAACATCCCCTACCGATGAATCTGGACACGCTAAACCGCTCCAACCCCATCCCGTACCACTCCACAGCAGGTGTGAAAGAAAACGCCCGTACACCCACTCCGCAATCTGTTCACGATCTATTAATGTAGATTATACCTTATTGGTTACTCAGGTCTATATCGACTTAAACAAGTGTGCGAAAAATTGTATATTTTTGCAAAATATTTAATGAGTTAGAGAAGCACACAAATTAAAACATAATGATGGATAGTATAGTATTCTTGAGGCTCTTTTTCGAGGTTACCACATACTTTTAAAATAAAATAATTGATTACAATACACAAGTAAAATATTTAGTAATTTTGCTACTGTGATTACCTTTATTGCATTATGATTTTATTATAAGCAGAACGAGGCTTAGCTTAGTGAGATCCGTGAATCTGCAAAAGTGCGCATTTACATATAGAGCGGGAGAATCTAGTATTTATTCATAGCAAAATGTTGAGAATGATATCTGCGCCTAGCTTTACTCTGTTAATATTCCACAGACACGCTGTTGACAGATGAAGTGGCACTACAGTGAATCATCTAAAAATCTTCGGTGCCGGAATTTCCCCTACCACATCTGTGCAAAGGTGTCGGATATAACATTACAGTTTTCCTTATATGCTGGGTAATGTCTGACTCTGGCTTCTCTGTAACACGTATGCTTTTTGCAGTGCTTTGTTTATGTGACCACCTGATGTCTGGTGGTTACTGTAAGATTCACACGATCCTTGTAGGCGTGGTTTGGTCTTCGGACCGCACCCAGGCCTAATTCCTTTGTTCTTTCTTGAATGGATGTACTAAGCTCCACTTTTATCTTGAGACGCTACGAGAATTTCCCTATGTCAAACAAGGCATAACATTCGATGCAAGAGCGAAGAATTTTTGAGAATAGAGGTTAAGGCTTTTGTTCTCTCAACTTCGTTAAAGTATAGATAAAAAATAAGTAATGGCCTTGTTCCACATTTGCAAGTTTCGATGTTAAACTACTGCTGTTCTGAGGCTGTCCACTAGGTAGAAGTTAGTAAGGTGAGCTGAGGGGATGTATGCCAGAAGGAGAAGAAAAGTTGAGCCTGGATAAATCCGAAGACCAATCCATGTGTACTAAGGCAAGAAGAACACCAAAGTAACCACCAGACATTAGATGGTCACATAAACAAGGTAGTACATGCAACATTGCCGGACTGCTCTTATTGATCCATCCCTATCACCATTTATCGCTTGCTAACTCCATATACTTTACACAACAGATACTGATCACTTCGGCACTACAATGTCGTGCAGTGTGAGTTAAAGTGAAGGCTTTCGTGTAGGATCTTACCGGATATGTGTTAGGAAATCTAGCCCTTTATCAACTTGTAAACCCTCTCTTTTCTATCCGTGGGTCAAAAATTAGTGATAGGCCGGGACGGTATTGAATACTTTATTTATTCGCTTTGATTTTTTAATATCCAAGACTTCTCACCAAGTAGAAGACTTAAAATTGTGTTGAATGTATGTAATCCGGGGAGAACAAAGAGATCAGGTCTGGGCATGATCCGAATGCCAACCCACACGTATCAGAGCCAGACGAATCTTAAAGTTGCCTCCCACCATCAGGTGGTCACAAAAACAAAGTATTATGCTGATCTTCTTAGACCCAAGCGTTCCATGAAGTCATTGATGTGTTTGATTTAAGTGTTAAGCAATTGTGCCTTCAGTGGCCAGCTTAAGTGCCGCTAGCATGGCTTTATAGCCACGCCCAGGGCAGTTTTGATGCTGAACTACTGCATAGCTAAATGGTTAAATCGCTGTCAAGTGGCTTGGAGTTCTCTAATCTGTACAGATTATTTGTGAATGCCACAATAGTTTGTGACAATCTCTGTGCATTGTATTTGCCAGTTGCAGTTGGTTATGTGTAGTGGCAGTCTGTTTAAATCTATGGCCCATTCGTGGTAAATTTTGAGCTTATAACATTTGCTCTGGCGGCGGCTATTACCAGATAATTATGCGCCACAGAATATTTAAAAGATATCCTGCAATAGTCAACAAAACGCCGGTTGAGTATGATTCGACAGGCAATGGTGTCAAGCACTGTTGACCGGATTTACGCAAGCCCATTTTTTAAAGCTAAAATCGGTTTAGCTTTTACGGAATCTCCTCTTTTTGCCACCAAAAACTTAAACGAGTGCACCGCCAGTTCTTCAAGCTCATAGCGTTTTCTTAATCGTTTTAGATAACCGCCTTAATTTTCACATTTTACTATCTTGTTGAATTTGTGAGAATTTATTCATAGGTTGAAAACTGCACTGACTTTATACATTTTTTATGTCAAAGTTGAACGTGTGCTTCTACGAAAAATTTCAGGGTGGAATAGTCATACGATGGCATACTGTCTCAGAAAGGGTGTGGTATTAACCCGTCGTCTCCCAGTTCAGTGATTGCAGTGGCAATGCAACGCCCGCAATCCCCTCACACCATCACCGTAACCATCTGAATCACGTGACTGGAGAACTGTCATGTGATGTGGATCAAAATCCTTTTTCTCACAAATGAAATTATTTATCAATCTGACTAATTGCTGCATTTAAGTTGTGTAACTATAAATATATGCTGGTGGTTGTCCCAATCTCAACGTTAAATCTCGAGCACATGTAAACTTTCTGAAAGGGCGAAGTTCATTCGACAAAGCTGCAGTTGGAAAACTAAAAGTACCATCAACTTCCCAAACTTATTTAATTCTGATTTGTCAAATATAAAAAAATACGGTGCCGATTGAAAGGGCGAATTAAAGTAATTATCACATTCTAAAAACTGGAACAATTTTAGACTATGAGAAACGTCAGTTGAAAGCTGTCAACGATGCTCCCCGCTTTGTAACTCGGAAATGGGCAAGAACATCAGTCGTGCTGGATCAGGCCACTAGGTGATGTTGTGGTGCTGTGGTCGGAGGCTGACTTGTAGTGCAGCGGTGACGACACTGTAGCCATATCTGCATGCATGTGGCAAGGTGGCATGCACGTGCCATCCAGCGGTGTTGAGTGCTCAAGCACGTGCTCGGGCACAGCGGCAGCGTTGCCCCAGGACGAGCAATAGGTTGACTACTCGCTTTAGGCGATTTACCACAAATTAAAGTGCCGGAATTGAAACGATGCAGGACATTCAAGCGTTTTACTTAAGTGCATCATAAAAAGATTGAAAGAACTAACTTGCGCACAGAATTTATAGCAATTTGAGTTTGTCGGCGGCTTCAGTCAGCAAGTTTAACCAATCCATAATTATCAACGAATAACATTGGAAATGAGGCGTTGTACTGACTCAGAAAAAAGGTGTGGACTTGTTATCAACAAGGTGAACACATGATACAGAACTCATGACCGTCTACCGTAACATTGTTGAGCTAATGGGAGTAAAGACAAACTATCATCCAAACCTTGCGTAGGAATACGGGCACGTAAGCACGAGTTAAGATTCGAGACCAAAAAAGTGAAGAAACATTTGACCCCAATAGCCCTCCAATGGTAATCATGCAGGTTATGAAATAGCAGCATTTTCGGGAAACAGAAAATGGAACACTCCACTACGGTAAGGGATATTTATTACATTCTGGAAGGCCCAATTAGTGGAGATAATGAAATTGTTCGTCACACCAACAACCGGCTTTAAAGAAGTGCAAATGTTCCTACTCAGCCTTAATTCTGCCGAAACGCATATTCGTAAAGGCATTTTTCGGTATTATGCAGCAAAACTCTATAGTGCAACAATATTCTTTCTATTCGTCTCTCTCTCTAGCGCCGTGACAGCGAGGTTTGTGAAAAAAGATTGAAGGCAAGCAAATCATAAATTTAAAATATATTTTTATTTGTAATAAATGAACTCGCATTGTCATTGTAACCAGTCGCTGATGCTCAGAAGCGTTTCCGCTTTACTTAACCCACCAATACATCTGTAACTCTGCATCAGTCGCAGTTGATTGTGCAGGAGGAAAGGATTTACTTTTGGCATTGTTGGCCCTTCTGCATCGGTGGCATTGTTCCTAAGTGCCAAGATGAGAGCGATGCGCCTTTTGCACTTTTGCCAAAATTAGTTTTTGAAAACTGTAATTTTAAGTCTGCACGCTTCAACATATTTGAGTAATCTATTTGGACTAGAAGACCAAATGTAGAAAAGAACTATTCGTTCTCAAAAAAGCGATTACAAGGAGCAAACCTTCTCCACGCATGGCAGCCGTAAATAGAATAAAATCTCGTCATGGTCTTCAACACGGTCCACCCAGTAACTTATAATCGTCGAAATCGGCCTTTGAGAGAGGACAGCAGGCGGGATGTCATTGCCTTGCAAATTTCTTTAAGGAGGAGGGGAGGAACGAGGGCCAAGTTGTTGGAGATGCATTCGAATACCCAAAGACTGTAGGCGAACCGAAAAGACTGCCAAATCCTCTAAAATCATGTGCTAAGTTCTTCATAAGAGTCGATGCTCGCCCCGTTGATTACGTGGATTGTCATTTAACATCTTGGAATTACAATGTGGGAGATAAGGATTGTAATATTTTCTAAAATGTACTCTTTATTGTGAAGTGTGCTCTTAACGGTTCTTAATTAAAATACTAATAAACTTTCCCCATGACTCCAAAAATATTTTTTTAAGCAGGGTCTATGCAGTAGTCACTCACTGACTTCGTCCCGAATTACTTGTTGCAGAACTGATAATAAAACATTAGCGTCCACTTTGCCTTTCTAATCGAAATGCAGCTTGTGCGTCTGCCTTTATTCATACACTTTGAAATCCGCACACACGCACTAACACCCACTCACTTTGGAATGGTCAAGGAAGACCACACCCATCAAGCTGTGAGTGGTTCGATGATATTTTGAATAACTAGAAGGAACTAATCAACACCTAATGAAAACTAATACCCACTGTCGTCAGCCCTCCCTTAAACAGCAATTGGTCGTCTGAACTGATAGACAGCAAATACAGTGAAGAGGGCAAGGTGCGGATGGGTATCAATTTATTAAACTTAGAAAAACAGAGACGATGGGCTACGCTATTCCTTTTCCGCTTGTTCCACTTCTGCCACAAATGAGGCGGAACTTCTCTTAGCAGGAGGCACTACCAGAACAGGTATCCCAGAGTGGTAAACGACGTAGTGACTGGCACTACCCAAAATGGTTCGTCTCGCCTTACTCATTCCCTGAGAGGCGATCACAATGAGGTTGGCGAAGTATTCGTCTGCAGCTTCAATTATGACGCTGCCAACGTTCGAGTCTGCTCTCAATGTAGTTTCGTAGATGAAATTTGCCTTCTTGCACTTCCGCGCATATTTCTCAAGCACTTGCCTGCCCAGTTCAATTCCCTCGTTCGTGGATGTGGAGTTGTCTATGACGGCGTGCTCAATGACGAGGCCACCGGGAGGAGAGATGTAACGTGGCTGAATGACGTGAAGGAGGATGAGTTTATCTTCGGGTCTGTGAGCTCGCTTGAGATACCATTTGAAGGCTCGTTCACAGTGAGGACTGTCATCAACGGGCATGATAATTATGCGAGATGAGACTGAAGGCTCAGAAGTCATTTTGCAAAGAATAGGCGGGAGGGCAGGCAGTAGGCGTATTTATTCTAACAGGACTCACTTGAAGAATCATACATTCGAAAGTCAAGTGGCGACAACACCAATGAGAATGATTGAAGCATTTTGTATTAGGAATACTCTAAAGCTTACTGGCGAATCCATTTACGTTATTTCAACGGAGTTGGCATTGCCATTCCCGATTCATTTAAACAAGATTCAAAGGAACGATAAACAACATTGACAGATCCATCTACCACTTCAATCTGTTTTATTTGCTTTTCATTGGAAAGAGTAAAGTTTTGAAACTTCTAAACATTGTTATAATTTTATGATAACCCTTTCAAAGAAGTCGAAGTGATTAAATTGTAGAACAGAGACAATAGAAATCCACTTTTCTAATATGTTCATTAAAAGTTACTGTTCTCCTCAAAATAATATTCATTGTGAGGATTCGAGTTCGGTGTATGGCAGAATTGCTCTTCTTGGCGGTTTCGAGCAACTCCATCAGATCCCTGCCAAGTCACAAAGGTGGATGGTGAAATTTAGTATGAGGAAAGGAATGGAATGGTAATCCTGGGAAAACGAATAAACCTTCGGCATGACTTTGGGATAAGCAACGTACATTTTCCCCACTCACTTAGCCTTTGTATCTTGAGCAATAGTGGAATCGGTTGGAAAGCAGAAGTCCCTTGATTTAAGGAAATACCTACTGAAGTAATTGACACTTTGGGATTTTAAGCAAACACCAATGCGTATAAGCAATGGGCGGGTGTTAGGAATCTTGTTCACGCATAAATAGAAATGAGAAACCCAAGAGGAAGAGAAAATTTTTCTTTATACTGCATTTAATTTAAATAAATTTGGTCATTGTCGATATACTAAAGAATGCGGCATTTGTTGTCCCTCAAGTGTTAGTCGAAGACGCTAACTAACGTGAACCACTATTAAACCATCGTCCCAAAAGTAGAACACAAATGGTCAACCCAGCCTTTCTGCATTTTTTGGCTCACCACCAATCCCCAATCTACAATAGTTTTGATGGAAATAAAGGACCTCGAACTAAGGTCCTTTATCAAAATGACATGGAGAGGAAAACTAACGACTTATGAAAATTGTTCGCTTTATTTCGGCATTGGAATGCGAGTGGAGGTAGTCTAGCATAGCTATTTTACGAATAAAGAAAATGGTTGCACTGTATTTGGCCATTAAGAATTTGTTAGTACAGTAAGTGTTGATAACTATGCCGAGGACAATAACCTTAGAGGTCACAACACAGAATACCTTCCATGTGCCATTTTGCAAACTAAGCCGTAGTTAAATGGGAATGGCAACTGAATCTAGCATTAAGAAGCAATTGTCCAAACTGCAGAACGATCTCGTGACAAGTGTAGCTTCACACAAAAGTTCACTCCTCCACAGAGCATGAACTCATGGAAACGCACGTTCTTTGGCATAGAAGTGTGCAGATGAGGTCCAACAACAAAGCATCGGAGTTGCCAACACGCGAATGCCCTAGCAAAGGCATTTGATGTGGTTTGTAGCTGACTGGCCTCCTATTTGTTAGAGCGGGATTAACCAATCCAAGTGCATATCACCCACAGGTCTACTTGCCAAGCTTTACTCCATCTCATTCAGAAGTATTGAGCATTTCGTGGAGTCGAACATGGATACCGATATATATGTATTGCATGCCTTCTACTGTGGCTTTTGCAGCATCCGACATCAACCACTTGACCAAAATGATATCCCCGACTACTTAGCCCGACGAGTCCAAATGAAGCCGCGTGTAAATTGCACTATACATGGAGACATATGCGGTTTTGTAGTGACCACTGCAAAGTCGCGGGCCTTTCCTGCAGCCGTCATAAATGGATATATTGCTTTGAACAACGCCGCTCACACAGTCGCAGTGCGACATTGTGAGACCGACCACTTTCTGGCCGGGTACCGATTCTTCTCCTTTAACAACACACACGAACAAGACTACTTCGTTCAGTACCTTGACACAATCCTGGACAGCCACGTGAGCATGTTTAAGAGGAACAGCGCGTTGTACTACGACTACCCGATGCGAGGAGGCATGGGGGAGAGCAGGAAACCGTTCGGTGCCTACAATATTCCTCTTGGACAAATGCAGTACATGGCGGCACCTGTACCGACGAAAATGCACCGAGAACAGTTACGAGTGAGCGATTCTTCTAGAATGCATAAAATCGCGCCAAATAGTCGAGTGGATGGTGGATTGAGTATCCACAAGAAGAGGCACTATGTCCTCTGAAACAGACACATCTCAATTAGCTATTTTGTTTTTTGTGCCAGAAGTAAGCGTCTTTCATTGGTACTCAGACACCCCTCTAGTGTTGCGCAGTCGTTTAAGCCTTAGCCCTATATCAGGATCGACAGATTTCAACTTTGCATGTTTAACATTTTTTCCTTTGAATGCATTTGCGATTATGTACTTTTGTGGGACGGCCATAAATACAACCACATGGCCACTTGTAAATGTTTATTTTAGAACACCACACAGGGCGCATGATTGTAGCATTCATTCTGAAACAATAAGAGTCTGAATATCTTTGGCGAGCTATTTAAGTTCAATTTTTGTGTTGGAACTGTCTCGATTTGTGTAGCGGTGGAAATTATCACCACTGGTTAAAACATCAAGAAGTGAAAAGACAACTTATTGCTTTAAACGTCAGTCAATTTGAAAGTCGTCGTAGAGCAAAATTAAGAGGAGCCAGATGCTTACGCACTTTGAGGTTTCTTTTTCTACGGCAAGCCTGTTGCTGAGTTGCTGCCAATCTTGTCTAACTTTGTCAACAATAGTATCGTTACAATTTTATATGCACGGTATGTTTATGAAACAGTGGCAGTCGCTATTTTTAAGTCAATCCTTATTATCGTCAATCTCCTTGCCATAATTGACGAAATGCGTTGATGAGGAAGTAACACTTAGTGAAAGTCTCTTTAGTGACAGGGTGTGAAATAACCGAACGAAGGCTGGAGGACCATAAATGGTAGCTATTCGGAGCTGGCGCATTCATGAATCTCCAAAATTTCCCATTGCGAAGCTTCACTGCCGCATTACTATGGGACGCAAGTTGGTAGATATTTTTGCTGAGTAATGCATCATAAAAGCGTAAAAGGGGAAATAGATGCTTGATTAATGCATAAAAATGCTAATTTGAAGCATTGAATCTGTCACTCTATATTCCTACTTCTAGCCACTTGCTTCACCCAGTAGAGAACGTGAATAAGCTCTACTTTATGCATGCCGTCATTATGTGTGCTTATTAAAGTCAATCCGCTATGATAGAACGTTGGTCCGCTCTTCGCCAAGCATTTGAACTTCGTAAGATTGCACAGCAAAAAGTTTGGAGTTCTTCTGCAATTGGAGGTTGCAGAGTAACTGACATCTGTATCCACTATGTTAAGCTGAAGTTTGATTGTGATATGAAGTACCATTGTCTTGGCGCCAAATGCATCCCATTAATCTACTTCCCCACTTCCCACACCTTTGTTAAGAGATAAAATTACTGAGAACCATATGATGATGTGTAGCGTTATCGCTATTGCAACATCATGCATCTTGAAGCTGTTCTTCTTGCATCGCTTCAACTCTGCCGCAACGAAACTCCAAATTTTTTTGTGAACACAACTGTATATTAGTCTGATCTTTGAACGATCAGAATCTTCAAAGAATCCTGTGTTATCCATAAATGCTACTTATCCAACTGCTAGGATTGGATGTGCTTGAGAGAAGGAGGAAATGAAGGAGATAACTTAGTCTAAACTCGACATTTTCTTAAGGTTCTTTGTTGGCGGTTGTTTCTGTGTGAACATAAACTCACATCGAAGGAAAGGAGTTGCGCGTTGATCATTCATTGTTGTGAGCAAACAAAAATCCTTTTGCCATTTCTGGCTGAAGATCCAAGTCCGAGTTTCGCTGTCACCTCAGTGCGCTACGACATTTCGCTCTGTCATTATGGCTGCAATACTTTGGCATTCTAGTCATCATTCTGAGGAAATCACAGCGATTTTGCTTTTTCACTTTTTAATTACACACAACTGCTCGAAATATGGCCCTTTATTACTATTTTAATTCACCCAAATTATATGTTAAAGAATTTGGCACGTTCTCACAATTGCCTTCATTTGAGTTTGAGACGAGGTATATGCAAAAATTTAGCTCATTCCACTTTTAACTCCTTGCATGAAGACTGCGTTGGCTGCAAGCACAAGCCACTTTCTTTGCTTTAGCCAACTGTAGGCACAGCGAAACTGTATTCGCATTCTACTGCAGCATCCACCCATCCACCACTCAGACAAGCAACGTCCGCACAAGCAGTAAGACTTGTTGGTTTGGTCTATCCTCAAAACAAGCTGCAAAGTACACCCATTTGTTCTGTCGCTTGACATCTGGCACGCAAAGTAAAATACTGCTTAACGTTGGTTTCACAATGCACGCAAAATTGTTCAGCGCACTGCCGAACTCACGCCTCTGTCTCCGTCCCCGCCACTTCCGAATTTGATCATTTATTAGCCCACTGTGAGCGATGATCCCTAAAGATGTTTCACTTTTTTATTCAAACGATTGTGTGCGCCACTTGAAAGGTGATCGCACGAATCAACTCCATCATGCAGATCCCTGATGGAGAGTTCTTTCCTCTCAGCGCGCAGAACCTCGAGCTCCTCAATCACCAAGTGCAGTACTTTGAATTCACACACAATGTGACTCAACGCCTCGCGTGTCGTCAATCACAATGACTGCTAATTGCCTTCACCACGGAGCAATTTTTAGACACTTGGAGGAAAATCAATTAAAAAGACTGTTTAGACGAGTTACGCGGCGTCAAGTTACTGTCAATGCATTCGAACCGGACAAGTGTGTGACATGAAGCATCGCCTTCCTTTCTAATCACATCACATGAGGGCTCAAAGCTGCCTATGTAGTCCTTTCCAATGAAGTTTTTATTTGCGGCAAAAGTGGTTCCTTTTCTGCACAATAGTATGACAAGTTCAGTCTTGCTACTTCTCATATGTGAAGTTGAGAAATCCATGCGCAAATTTTACCAGTCGTTTGGGTTGGAATGGTCGCAAACTCTATGCCTTACCTTAGCTCGACTAACCCCATTGCCATTGCCTTCTAAGCACTTTTAATTAATCGAGATGTCCTTCTTTGTACGAATCTTTCATTAACAAAAATTAAATGGTTACTGTCGAACCAAGACGTCAATGCCTTTTCATTTGTGAGGACATACGATTTAGGCTTTGGAGATTGTTGAGGGGTTTAAAATGAGAGTGATACCCGCAGAGCGATGCTGTTAAACGCGGTAATGTGGGATCTCCACGATCCCGTTCCCAGCAATCATTTTCACCACACATCTATTCCTTATGCACTTGTCTCGGATGATTCAATTATGTTCTTTGTGTGAGAGGACCTGATGAGAGAATCAGAGGTTCCCCTTTACTCAACCTATCCGAGTTAATTATTTGGTAAGAAGTTTTGTCCTCTCTTTCAATTTTCTACTACTAACCATACGAATACGTCTCAACTGAATTAAACGCGCCTTTGTGATTGTGCACAAGCAAGATAATTTTACAACCCATCCAATACCATCATTTATGGAAAGAGAATGATAGCATTTTTCCGTAAAATTAAACCTTAGCATGCACACAATCGAAAGGTGCTCATCCTGCTTGAAGGCAGGCGGCACTCATCGAAGCACTTCAGGTGCGCACACAATTACGCCCCGATGACGCCGTGAGAAACACTGTTTTGTGTAGCGATTGCAGGCGTGGTTGGGACCTAGTAGGGCTTGTCATACTGATGAAGTCATGCATTTGCACGACTCAAGCCCGCATGCAGAGTTGAGTAGATGACTCGCTTCTGGAGAAGTTTAAGAGAAATATTAATATTGTTGTAGTAATAATTGGTTTCATTACATTTCGAATATAGTAACATATTTGGAGCTCAATACTGCACATAAATTACCCATTGTCTGAAAGTACACAATAATTTATTCACTGCATTTATGGCATAAAGGCTCACAAAAGCCTAGTCACCTACACACGCGCAATAGAAAATTAATACAAAATCCCAAATGAGAACAGGAAGGAAGCATGGAAATGTTCCTGATCATGTGGTAGAATAAAATAAAATAATGCTACCTAATATTCATAGAGCTTTTGGTTTTATTCTTTTAGAAGAAATCACGTAAAAACTCTCAACGGCCGGAGAGTGAGGATCGTTATCCCATAGATAGATTACGACGAATGGCACATATCAGAAACCTCCAAACAAATGGGTACATATGACCTCAAGATACTTTATAATTGTATGAAACTTTTGACATCGCGCATGGGTTATTGGGTTCGAATGAAAATAAAATACTACAGAAGGACGATTCATGTTATTCGTGTTATTTAAGCTCTAACTATGGAAACGTGTCTAGGGGACAATAAAGGCAAAGAAAAGCAAAAGACATTCGTTAGGAGGTAAAACTAAAGATTTTGTAAACCTCAAGAACTAAAACCACCACATTCAATGTCATTATCAGCTATCTGTAAGGACAACTAAACAGCTCCTGTTACTATTATCTTTTTATTAATAAAGCTTTCTTAGGCGATGATCAGCAGACGAGGTGGATAACCTTCACAAACAAGGATGACGCCACATGCAGCCAATGAATGTGATAAATTCATCACAAGTCCAATTAGATGGTTTCGCCTTGGCAACTGTGCAATAAAGGAACACTTAAAATCAAACAACGTTACAGTACTCTAGCGTTTACTCTTACGTTGAGATCGAAAGTACAATTGACGGTAATACCTTAGCGATGGGGTCGAATTGTATAAGGTAAAAACGATAACAACTTCTTTTATCCACCCCATTTGTAAGGATTACAATCATGAAGCATAATGAAATATAAAACTTCCAACGCTAAATGTGATTATAAATCTTGGCTAACTCAGTAACAAAGCAGTGGTAATAACTCAAAGAATAGGAGCCTATGTGCAAAAAAGGTTTCTGACATGCAATTTTTAAGTGCTAACTACAAATTCATAGCTTGGGATGCGAAGACAAATCAAACATTTGTGTTGTTCGGATTTTTTCCATCAGATCAGACATATTTGGTAGGGTTTGACTCAGCGAGCAGCAACTGATACAAATAAATTCATAGTCTGCGCATTTTTTTCATTGGGAATTTAGATATACCTAAATCCGTCTGAACATCGCAAGCCATTAGACTTTAAACGGTCACATTTTGTAGCCTTTCACGTGGCTTCAAACAACAAGCCTAAAAGCCTATTTAAAATTTCTGCCTGCGCCAAATTCTTTCTTATGCTTTAACTGCAATACTTTGTGCGACCACCTGATGTCTGACGCTTGTACGCGTGATCTGGCTTTTGGGCCACGTTCAGGCCTGACCTCTTTCCTCTCCCTTGAATAAATATATTCAGCTCCGCTTACTGCCTTATTCTACCCGGTGGGAAGTCTCAGGATAGCGAACCCGACTTTTGCTAACGACTTCTATCCTGGTTTATACTGCATGCTGCAAGTACCTACGGTGTGTAGGAGGCTCATTGACATCGTTGAGGAGGGGAGCCGGAGGGGAAAAATCCCTAAACTCTTCGCAACAACTGAAACGACACCGCCGTGAACTATCTGGAAAGATTCCTGTCGGACTTTCCTTTACTACATTCGCATACAGGTGTCGGAAATGGCACTATAGATCTGTCTGTTCCCGCTTACCCTGAGACACGCACGTTTTAGATAGGAGTTCCACCATCTAATCCTAAACGTAATTGATAGTGGATAGATGTGCGGTCCCAAATGCATTTTTTTTAGTGTTAACGCAACTCTAGGTCCATTTGTAGTAGCTGGGGGGACCAAGTACTTTTCCTCAGCCTAATGCTAGCTGTTGATTTGCGCAGTTAGTTAGTAAAAGCTGGCGGGGGGAGGTATGCCACGGGGAGGGTCGATGACGGTGCTGCAAAGGAGAGAGAGGCAGTGTAACACTTTGTTGATGTCACCATCGGATGTCTGGTGGTTACTTTAGGATTCGTCTGGCTCTTGTACGCGTGTGCTGATCCTCGGGCCAAGCTCAGGCTTAATTCCTTCACTCTCCCTGGAATGCATCTGTTTAGCTCCGCTTGAGGCTTTTTCTACCCTGTGCTACGTATCAGAGGCCAAATTAAAAGATGGTACATTGCTGTCAGTAGCAACAGCGATTCTGAACAGTATTTAATTTTCACTTTTTATTAAAATATTTGTTGGAAGAAAAACAATCACATCTGTACGACTAAGTCACATATTAATTTATAGACGCAAAATTTAAACTTTTTTAATTGCAATCTTGGTACAACAATTTTAATATCTCATAATTAGTGACGAATTTCATTCTCGCTCTTCTGCGCAAATTGAACTGTGTTGGTCGTGTTGGGCTACATCATTCATGGACAAACGCTTTGACAAGCCTCAAAATGCGAAAGCCGGAATTAAGTTTGACATTCTTTCAACGGCACGGAAATACATCAAACTAATTAGTTGTTGGGTTGCTATATGGGGACTCGGCTACTACAAGTTCAGCCCCAGTTGGGTGGCCTTTGGGGCTATCGGCTACTTGGCTTACTTACGTGCGTATGAAAGGCGTAGTCTTGTGAGCTTAGTTATGAGGACCATCACTGAAGATGAGAAGTCATCAGTCATTAATAATATTAGTTCTCATGAGTTACCTGCATGGGTAGGCTCCATTTCGCATTTGAATACTAGGTGTACTTCCCGGACATTGAGCGTGCTGAGTGGCTTAACAAAGTAAAGCGATGTAATTGCGTCAGATTCTAGGTTATTCAACGAATGTGGCCATACATAACTCAATATGTGAATAAAGTTTTGGTTGAGACTGTGCAACCAGTAGTGAACACAAATCTTCCTCCTTCTCTACGCCCCTTCGTGTTTCTGCGGACTGATCTTGGAGACGCGGTTTGATTACCTCATTTTTTCTACTGAAAATTTAGCCTCCTCGTATTGGTGGCATAAAAGTCTATGTGGAGGAGAGCATTCACAGGGATGAGATCGTTATGGACGTCGACCTGATGTAAATGGAATTTTACGAAGTCACATGTTTCAGGCTATATAGCGACGCTAGGATCAAGGTTTCCGTGGGAAAGATCGTTGCCGGTGTTAAGGATTTTGAGGTGTGATATGTGAGGATGGAATGTGTACCTATGCGCTATGTTTTCAAGTGTTTATTGCTGTGTAATCCTTGACGAATTTCAGCGGCTTTTCCTTTTTACTAGCTTCGGGGGACCCTACGGATTTTGATAAAGCCACTTGTTCCGCAAATTCCTTTCGTTGGAGCAGTAACAGTGTGCTTTCTTGACAATCCGGTAACCGATTTCGTTTACTTTGACGCCTGGATAGTACATTAACTTCCTTCTTACGCACATGGGGAATATCTTAACGATGCCTGGACTCCAGTACATCTACTGGTTTTATTCCTCTAACCTATGCCTTTTGTCGCTATCTCATAAGTTTTTTTATTTGCCTCAAGGCAAACTCTGTATAGGACGGTTCAGGACACTGTTAGTTCGCTTTGCGTTCTTCCAAATAGGATTTCGGTCCCTCTTGTAAACGACGTCATTTTGGAGCAGATTCGATTCCCTTCAGCTCAGGTTGGTTTGTGGTTAAATGTAGAAGTGGACGATAATTTATTTTCCATAATTGGTATGTCTCTGTTCTCAATCGTTTTATTCTTCGAAAGGGTGAATTAGTAGGAGCAACACCAAATTTTAATGTGGAAACCTTTTTCAAATAAAATAAGTTGTGGTTTAAGATCTTGTATTGTTCGTCTCGTTTCGTTGCGGTATGTTTGATCCAAAAGAATTCTCCAAAAAGAATATCATGTAAGGTACTGTCATTTTCTTTTAAATTATTTATGTGATCATGTCAACGATTGTGAGGAGTACTCTCTCGCGTAGAAAACGCTAGTAACCAGAATATCACAAGTTGGGTGACTTTTGATACCTTGTATTTACGCTAGGTTTTCATGTATTTAAGTGTTTAGCTTTAATTTATTCATAGTCCTGGTGTCATCAACCCGGTTAGTTTATCATTCTCATGGATTTCAACAAGAACCTTTTATTGCTTTGAATGTTACCACCATCGAGGTGCATTCTGTGATGGGCTAATTCAGAGTATATACTCATTTATTACGTCTTTTTACGTTACTTGTAATTAATTTTTGAAAAATTCCATCATCTGTTTACATTGCTCAACGGTGACAGCTTTAATGATGTCAGGGACCTTTGCTTTTTTTTATTTCTGATATTAGGGGACGTGGCTAATGCAATCCCTTTCCTCCTGTTCTGAATGTGCTAAATTTACTTCGCCCTTTGATGGTGATGCCAGTGCCGTGCAACTGATTAAACTTGACAGTAATATTTCAGCATCATTTATGCTGATATTGATAGGTGTGAGACAAAGGTTTCTTCATTCAAGTAAATAACATTTGATTCATTTGGTCCACATTACACCAATTCTGCCATTAGGGCGCGTCAAACTCCGCGAAATATATACATTAGTGTTTCCAAGGGACTGTGCGGGGGATATTTCACAAATAAGAATCTGGCTCTGAATGAAATGAATGTAATGCATTGCATCTTCGTTTTGAACTTTTATTAACTACAGCATTCATTAGTATTATTGTGATTTTAGGGTGCTGTCCGCGTCGAGGTCATCTCTGCTAGCGATCTTGCATCCGCCGATGTAAATCTTGCTGGGAAATCGTCTTCTGATCCCTACTGCGTCGTTCGAGGTACCTAGTTTCATTTTTGGTAAATCGAAGAGTAACAGAAATTGTGAGGCATAAGGTAGAGGTGTAGTTAAAGCTTTCAGTTTACTGCGACACTACACATCAGAAATAGGTGACCAGTTGAATGTTTTTAGCCTCTTCGACTTGGTGTTTGGCATTGTATCTTACCTCTTTAATAAGCACGACAAGCTTTAATATGTATACTAGATTGACCGGTTCTCTGCCATGTTTTCTGTCCCACGGCAGCTACTAAATATTTTCACTTATAGGAAGCAAATTACTGTCACTATTGTTATTGCCAGCTACATGTTTCCTACAAACGTAAATGAACCATTTTAGCACAGCTTATATGGACTACTGAAAAATTTTTTGGAGAAAAAAACTTTATGAAAGCGTTTTGTTATTATTTCCTTTGTTCCCCTGACTTGATTTAGTCTTGTCAGTAATAAATCAGTCCTATGATCCATGGCTGTGGTTACTGCTCTTCATGAACAAAAATAGATCCAAAGAAAATGTGCCCAACTCGACTTTTACAACTGCTACATTCATCACACGTTCGTTCGAATCAGCGCTATTCTTAAGTCCTTCTGATCAATTGTTGCCCATTTGTGCTAACTATTGGCGCTGGTTTTACGCCTGATTCCTGGCAGTGATGCCTACGATCTTCATTTTTAGTCGGGGCGGAAAAGTTCATCACAAAGGTATTGAGTAAGACGCTTAATCCAACGTGGAACGAATGCTTTGAGGTGGGTATGTGGGTTCATTTTTTTGCTTCTTAATTGCTCTTCCAGAACTAACCTATGCACAAAGTATACATACTCACCTCCTGCAATGCTTTGACGCTAGTGCTTTTCAAATTTTTTTTTGCTTATCATTAATTTCGGTTCATTTCCCCTATCCAAAATCATTTTGAGACTTGGGTATCTTAGGCCAAGGGCTTACTGTTCCTACCGTTTATGCACGTCCTATAAAGTTTTTTTTAATCAAATGGGAAGATAGTTTTGTGGTTATGGATACCTCAGGTTGCAAACAATTTTTTGGGGTTTTTGGCATATCTCGTCCCGGTGGCTTGTGCAGTTGACTATAGACAAATAATTTTATCAGTTGTTCGTTTGCTGAGGTCCAATTGGTGTTTATAATCGGCATTCATCTTTTCAACTGTTGGAATTTATTTGGAACCTAAGAAATTTGCAAGGCTGGTAAGCAAACTCTCGGAAAGGTTTTCACTTTTGAATAAGAGAGGTACTGCATCACCCAGCTTTCCTTGCTTCTCATGCAATTGTCCAAGTGATTATTGCAAAACGGCAGAATAAGCGGTTGCGATATAGTTAAGCCTAGGTAGCACACCTTTTTACAAATGAAATTAACTGCCTGTTTTAGTCAGAAGGGATGCTACATTATAATGATTATTATTATTACAACGTAAGTGGTGCATTCTTATCACCATTTATTAAAGGAATCAGGCAAGCAGACTTGGTTCGATGCGACTAGAAATTGACTTTTGAATGTATAAGATTGTTAGTAAGTCTGGATTGCATGCATGTTTGTTACATATGTGCTATTCCACAAACCCATTCTTTTCCTAGCAGTGGGTCTGTTTTACTACGTATCTAACATTTCAGGCGGTTGTTGATCAAAAAATGGGTCAGTCAGTAATCATTGAGGTTTGGGACAAAGATGCTAGTAGCAAGGACGACGAATTGGGGCTGTAAGTTGCAATTGTTTGGTGGGATCTATTGTGAGTAATGATAGAAGGTAAGTCGTAATTTTCTCAATTCGCTGGCAAAATTCACTAATGCTCATAGGCCTGATGAATGGTCTTTGTTGGCATGGCATTAGGTTTGATTTTGCCTCCAACACAACCTGGAGAGTATGAGGCCATCACAAATCGAGCTTTACATAATTTTATATTCCTTTTTAAGTAAAGTACATTGCATTCATGCGTCTCATTTTGAGGTCCTCAATATTTCGCAATTTTAGAACAACAATTCCAATCGAGGAGGTTTATTTGCGCGGACAAATAAATTCGGTAAGGTTGCGGCTTCTTTGACGTCTTAAAATGTGCAAGCTAAAAGTGTCCATCGCCCCGCGACAGGCTTGTGTTTGTGGCCGGCGCTTTGTTCACTATTGCAATGCGCATTGCGACGGGCCAGAGGGGCGGGACTTTTATCAAAGTCCGCCTTTCCGTGTCCTTCTAGCTTGTTTTGCGCTTACCCTCGTTAGCGTGTATGCTGTCGTAGTCTTAGGCGCAGCTTGGTACCACGCGTGCTCCTTTGAATTCCCTGTCGATAGACCTAGTCATGTATCACTGCATTTACGCCCTTATTACGCATCGGCTCGTGGCGTACTAATAAGACTGCCTCCTTTCATAGAACTTACCAGTTGTCTCATACCATACACCCTTGTGATATTACAGTCAGTTAATGCATACTTTTGCTTTAAGTCGTCACCATAATGATAGGGTAAAAATTTATCTTTTCAATTTGCGAATCGATCTGTAATTTTCCTCAGAAGCTTACTGCATAACTTTTAATTTTATCGTTACTTCTAGTAATTAATCAAAATGCTAGGAACTTTAGCAGCGGAATTAGGTTTGAGTAGAAATGGAGCGTTGTGTTACAGCGCTGGGCTGAATTAAGACCTCAAATCTCTATTTTTGCTAAACTAGGATTTGTACGTTATGGCTGGCATTTCATTTTAAAATGGACATCTACCTCCTTCTATGCAGGTAATGTGTGCTAGCGCCTCAACATGAGGTCTTGCAGTGCGGTCCACACTTTAAACTACTCTGTCCTAAGAGGATTTCGATGGAAATAGAATATCATTTCATGAAGGGTAGTGTTTCATTGCAAATGTTTTGCCTCGAAACTTGCGACTTCTCGTTACTGTGCAAGTCATGGTGAAAGGATGCATTAGTTTGTGTCAAGTTCATTCAAAATTTACGCTTACATTTCAGGTGAAGATGCTGGAGGGTGTCAGCAAAGGTAAGGTCCACATGAAAGTGACATGGCTGGATCTGTCACCCAATTCATCGGATTTTATGGCAGTACGTCCCTATTATCGTCACTTCTGTCCGTGTTCGATGTTTCACTAGGTGTTATTCGGCCCACTCGATCCACCGATTTCGGGTTGGATCGTATTGCACTTCATTGATGTATATCAGTGCCTTTTAGTACTTCAAAATCTGTTTTAATTTGTGTTGTTGGAAATGGCTGCAGGGTGCCTTTCCAGCAACAGTTATCCTGGCCCCTGTTTGTGCGACGGGTAAAGGGTTTAAGTTTGGAAATCGGCGAGATTGTACGCATTATTAGGGGGTCCCGGAGTATCCCAACACAAAGTTACAATTTTGGACAATCGACTAAAAGCAGCCTTCTTGAATTCACTGGTAATTTACATATGGGGTTCCACTATCAAAAGCATGGTTGTGTAGCGTTTTACAGCATTTGAGCTCCTTCTTGTTGCATTCTTATCCTCTGAGCTTAGATTGAACAAATTGGGCGGTCTTCTTCCTCTGAGAAGGCCATTTTCAACGCCTACCTCTTCGTTCGGGTCGAGCAAGGCAAAAACCTAAAGGTAAACTTATTGTGCATTTTGGTTGAGTATTTCCTCTAAGTTGTGAGATCCCACTTTGGTAAGTTGCTTATAGGACCGCTTATGCATGTCTCTTACTATCTAGTATTTGGCGTTCTGGAAGCGACAGCCCAAATTTTGAATATTTTGTTGAAGACGGGCTATGCGCGTGGGTTGATCGTGTTTGCGATTCCAGTCGCGTTGCTGCTGCGTTAACTGTCGGTTATGGCGCATTGATCAGGATAGTCACTATTGCCTGTGTTGATGCTTTCTCGCATTAGTCTAACTCTTTTATTTACTTCCAATTTACACAATAGAATCTCACTCTCTTCGGCACAATAAAGTTGAGCTTTCTAATATTGAATACTTCACCGGCATTTACTGTACCTCACTGCTTTGCGGTCAGCATTAAAAGTAACTCGATTAATGTAAGGCTGCCGCTTAAAATACATCGGTCGAACCCAAATGCAAATCGATCGTACTTTTTTGTTTTTTGCAACCACGCGACCTTTTCCAATTTTATTAGTTTCTCATTCTTCTATGCTTCATTTAAACTCTAGCCAACCAAAAAACGTGATGCAAGCTTATGTGGATGGCGTTTATGTTAGTACTGAAAATAAAGCATTACGAATTGGTGCTCGTGTGATGGTTTTTTAACATTAATAGCTGAACTCATGGCATTGGAAATACATAGGACACCTCCATAGATTGAGGTCGCAGTGCGGTGTTTGACGAGACTGGTTTTTTTTGCATCGATACACGAAGTAGGTAGTCTGCTGAGAACTGATAGGCTTATCATCGCGTCAAATGTGCATTATCCGCCCACATCTTTCATCACTTTCAGCCTACTCAGTAATGACTGTCACAGTTCATTGTACTATATGTATTGACTATGCAAAGTGTATTTCACATCCTTCCCTGGACAAACACAGTGACACCATTGATGAGTGTATCCTTTACAACTGCTGGCAATTTATTCTTCTTGAGTTTGTCACTTGATTCATTGAAGAGCGACTAAGTCGGAGAATAGGTCACTTAATTGAACTTTTCAAAGCGTGTTTTAAGCCCATCCTTGGAGATGTGATTGATGAATACTTTCGTTGTTTATTTCAGCGTTTAAAGTTCTTGCAGGAGCCATCGCCCTATTGCGTCCTGCAAATTGGCAATGTAGTACAGAATACGGCGGTGCGTGAGAAAACGCAAAATCCCATTTGGGAGTCCCCTCATCATTTTCTCTTTTCTAATCCGGACATCCAAATCCTCAACATCGAGGCACGTGCCTTCTTGTCATTGTTTTCACTGAGTTCTTTCATCATATATTTTAAAATGAAGCCTACAAGTCCGTCAGGAGGGATGGTGAATCATTCATGAGTCCTTTGAGCCTTATTAGGACATCTGTAGAATGTCGTAGCGCCTTAGTCAACTAAATAAATCAAACTACTCATAGTTTTGAGCAAAAGTTCTAGTAATAGCATAACTGTTCTAGCCATCACCCAAGACTACAGTTATTTGTTTTATCTACTTCACGTTGGGTATTTGTGTTTTAGATTCATGATAGCAAGTCAGAGGTTGTCTTGGGCACTCTAGCGATCCCATTGAAGCATCTGAAGGCTGAGAAGAATATGACAGTGACTCAGCCTTATGTTCTTCAGGCAGCAGGTCCAGACAACGCCACCCTCTACCTTCATCTCGAACTACGGGTGCGTTACGCTTTTGCACAGTATGGGTATGCTTTTTTTTAAACTCGGTTTATCAGTAGATTACAACACTTGAAAACATTACTGTGTTAAGTGGTACTCTAACAGGTACACCACATGCATGAATTTGAGTCATAAGTTCTCGGACATCGATGCACACAGCGGATTACTTAACTATCAGAGTTCAAGACGGCGTACATACTTGTGCCACACCTTTCCAAGTGAAAACCCAAAAATGATTATTTTGGTATTGCGTCACAAAATTTGGCTAAGCACCTGTAACCCATCACTCATAATGCTCTATAATGTTTTCAGTGCTTTAACTAGTTTGCACGAAAAGGCTATGGGTCCTGCTTGTACTCATCATGATGCTTAAAATCTGTTTATTCCTAACACATCGGCTAACTAAGCTTTATCAAAATTTTTTGTTGTTGAATTTGATGGGTCTAATATATGAATCTAAGGTGTGATCCAACATATGAACTTGATTGTTAAGGTCTTTTAATTTTGTAAACCTACGGTATTTAGAGTGACTTGTATTTGGACCTGACAATGGTGGGAACCTCAGCACACCATTTCAACCCTGTTCATTGTGGTCAATGAGGTCCTATCTGAATCATGCTACCAAGTTTAGCGTCCACCGAAATCCCCAAGGAATCACTGATCTCTCATTTAAAATGATATGGTTTTCTTTGGTGGTAGAAGTGGGTGTCTATCAGTGTTGGTTTACTCGAATACAGGCGCTGGTGCCGGGTCCGGACAGACAGCCACATCGGAACCGCGGACCTCTGGATTCCGGCTGTTCTGAAGAGACTCCCAAGCCCTCCTCTCCACTCATCACCACCTTCGAGAAATCTCAAGAGTCCTCACCGGAGCCCTCACCGCTCCCTTATTCTGTACCGTCGTCTTTGCCCGAAAATGTCGTTTACCATCACCGTGGTGATTTAAAAGTGGGTTCTCTCTCTCGTCTGTCGATTTTTCATGTCTGAACTTGCTCTTTTCATCAAATTAAAAATCATAATTTGGACCACTTAACTACATTTGAACTGAACCAATATTGACAATTTGTGAAACCTTTTGTTCGTCTTGTGCATTTACTTAATGACGACCTTCCATCACTGGCCATAATATGATTGGCTCATCAGATAAAACGGAAACCCGTTACTAATTGTTGCATATTGGTTATAAAATCACTTTTTCCACATAGGTCTGTGCCATTTTCCGATTTGTGTATCACAAATTTCACCTTATGGCTTGTTATATTTTCCCTCCTACAAAGGCTTCGCAGCCATAGAGTGGAGAAGGAACTTCATTGAATGCTACTGGTTTACCCATAACACAAGAGCATCACCATCAACTTTTTTTGCAGCCAAAGCAAAGGGGAATTCCCACAGTTAAGAAAATCTGTACTGTACTCCGACTGTAGTTCAGCCGCGATGCAGGGTTAGATAAGTCTTGATAGTAAATTTATGTCAATAAAAAAAACAGTGATTCATTGAATTTATTGCAGTGCAGTAGTTAATTTTGATCATATATGTATACAACTCAGTAACAAAATAACGATAGCATGGAAAGCTTGGTGTTCTTAATTTAGTAGTCCCCGTTTGTTGAGGCGTATTCTCTGCACTAATTCGAGGCAACAATTGTATTACATAGCTCGTTCACTTTGACAACTGTTTTATGCTACTTCTGCGTCCTCTAACACAGACACCTTTACTGAGTTCAGTGATTAGGGCAGGCAGGCTTCGAGCATAGTTACTTCCTCCTCGGCGAAAACTTCTTTTACTCTCCTGGTTCTGTATGTGCTCTCCTATCTGCTGAAGCGTGTTAAAGTTGTGTGGTCAGTTTGCCGAACCGTTCAAACATGATGCCGCCCTTCGAAACCGCACAATCTCGAAGTGGTAGCTGGTTGACGTATTGTTGCTGCTGTGCTTGCATTGACGCTGGCGTAGTCACTTCTGTGGATGGAAATAAATAAGTCAGTGTGAACTACAGGATGAGGACGAGGATAATCACACTCTGGTGGATCCGCCAAACCCGGCTGGTCGGATAAGGCTAACTATGCACTACGATGTTGACATGGAGATTCTCAAAGTTACCGTGGACAGGGCTGAGTACGTGTGCTTCTCCCTATGTATTTTCCTGATTCACTTGCCCATCGAACTCAGTCAGGGTTGTAGTTTCATTACTCTCGTTGTATATCATTTATTCCAAAAAAAATTTTTTTGCTGATTTCTCTGGCACTCGATTTTACCAGTGCATGCAAACTGGCATCATGGACGATGAACAGTTACCTTTACAGTCTTGCTGGGTCATGTAAAAACATGCTCAAATTTTAGAAATATCTTGGGCGTAGATAAAGACGGCTTATCGGATCCCTATGTGAAGTTGAGCGTCATTGATAGCTTTGGGCATACTGTTGGCGAATCGAAGAAAACAAAAGCTGTGAAGAATGATCTGAATCCATTTTTCGACCAAAGGTACCATCTTTAATCCATTCATGTCACATTACTGGACGTATTGCTTTTGTTTGAATGTTCACTTAGTTCCATGCATTAATAAGTCATTGTATATGTTAATAAAAACAGATTTGGACATTAGTGAACGTTGTTATTTTGTAATTTATGATGATGCTCCCAAGAGATTCGGAGTGTTCTAATGTGTAAATAATCCTTGTGTTCCCGATTGTTATGCAAAACGTTTAGAATTTTAAGTGATCATTGCGTTTGTTCAAATCTGCATATCTTGCCTTTTTATTCTCCATTCTCGTTTCCGTTCTTCACAGTTTTGAGTTCTCCGTGAAGTCGGAGGTCTTGGAAACCTGCAAGCTCTGTGTGGTTGTAAAGAATCATGTTGGCCCTCTACAGCGCAATTCGCAGATGCGCAAATTGGGCTCCGTTTCGGTGAGTCTGCACGAATTGAAGGGTGGCAGCGGATTTACTGAGTGGTAAGCACATCTCTTTCGCCCCAAATTCGTTATATTACTCTCCTGCACTGTTCTTGCAAGTCACTCTCACTTATTTATGGCAAACTCTCATTTTTCCACAAACAAACCACTTTTGTCCATTTAGATAAGCGTGAAAATGAACAGTTCCTTCGTATGCTAGCGACTATTTGAACTACAAATTTTTACAATATTATTTCATTTTAAAATTTAAATTAGAGTACTTAGCATTTAAAAGTTTTCTGTCCGTCAAATGCTCAGCAAGTCTTTGGAAGTCATGGTTGAGAGGAATTTTTGAATTTGAACAAAGGAAAATGTACGTCAGCGTTGCCTTTTCAGTGTACTTACGCATCTTGTTATACAGTCTACCGCAGATGCGTATGAAATGTATGTCATCACTTGAACGTGCTTCACTCATCACTGACTTCAAATAACTTCCTTCGCTATGGACGGAATAACATGAGCATATTTTTGCGCATCAACATCATCAGCAGCTGGATTGACTCATGGCTGCAGGGTGCTATCCATGGTTGCGTTCACTGGTTGTACATTTACGCATAGCGTCAGGTGTAACGGCGCGCCTTTTGGTCTATCCCAACACCTGGGATCAAATGAAGCCACTGACTTGATTTGTTTATTGCCGTTTGCACCTACCAAACTCTAATGTGCATGTAGCTTATGCATCCATTGACTCACTTTCTCGCTTCTCTCTCTCCTTTAACACAGTCTTCTGGTAGGTGAAGACAAATTCTCTCCACCCGCATTGATGGTCCCACATCAATATTAGATAAGTATGCTCGAATCCGTTTCACACATTTCCCTTCTATTCTTGTAGGTACTGGCTACGCAGATCCACGGACTAATGTTGACTGCTGGTGACCTATGCTGGTGGATTTTCATCCCTGAAATCGCAATGCTTTTACATGTCTGCTCACTTTTATTCTTACACGCATTTCCGTAGTACCCTCACCATTTGACCACATTGCTATCCTTCGTAGAGCACAAAACTTTATTTCACCCTGCCATTTTACTCTTCGCTCTTCGCGAATGCATTAAAATTGTATCGTCTCTTCAACATTATGATATTCTGATCGAGTTACTAAGCGGGTAGCCAAAGCCGTTTATCGACAACTATTTGGTTTCTGATTAATTTATTGGATAGCAATTTCGATAAAAGGTGACTGTCAACATTCCATAAGAAATGACAAAAGGGCACTCCTGCTGCCTTGGCGTCTCTTCTTCCAGCCTTTATGGGTCTCCTTGTTGCGAGTTCGTCATGCGTTGCATTGCTTCTATCTCCTCTAAACTATCGATTGCATCAATTCAAGCCGGTCCGGTTGTTATCACTTCTAGAGTTTCTTGATAATTTTTCGATTTTTAGGTATTGAGTCACTATTTAGAAGTTGTTCAACTCCTTTCAACCGGTAATCCGTTCCTGACTAGATAAGTTGGATAGGTGTTGCGAAGTGGTCGGACGGTTTTGCTATTTTGTAGATTGCAAACTTATGCTGCCACTTTTACATGCGCTTTACCTTAAACAGATTTTGAAATTTTGGGGAAAGTAGGGGAAAGTGTCACCCATTTCATGCTAAAGTCCTGTACTGTGAGTGAACTGTGAACCCCGTTATCACTGCCACACTAGTGGAGTTAGATATATCATTAGGTGACCCTATGGTCTCTCAGGTACATGCTTATCCATAGGTATTTGAAAAAAGGCAAAATCTGACTTAGGGACAAGGTAGGTTGCTTGGTTTACTTGATTCCGTTAAGGGGATCGACGTCAAATGGCGGACAATGCGTACTTAGCTTTAGAAATTGAGTCCATTAAAACGAGGCTGACATCGACTCTGGTAGTCTTATCTTAGTTCATGCACCGTCACGGTTCTTCAAATCGGAAGTCCTGCTCTGTAGTGACAGAATGTGTTCAAAGTCCAAGAACTCACTATTCGGCCTTTATCAAAAACACCCCTGTGTCCCAAATAAACCTTTAGTGATCAACCCGTGGAAGTCTCGAAGTGCGTCAGTGGTAGAAAATTAATATGGAAAAAAAACCGAACGATCAGTAAGTACAAATCCATCTGGGGCAATGCGCTGGTTGTCTTCCATTTCACTTTTGACGAGAAGTGGCCACTGCATCCATTCTGCGTTGGCATTCCCACTGATCGGAGAACAGAATGGTAAACCTGAACCAATTCCTTCTTACCACTGGAGGTCTTGGAGGAAGAATAAAATACCCTCGTTACCGGTGTTTCTTCCAACCTGCCAAACTAATATTTGGTTTGTTTTGGATGCTAGCTCAAGCTAGCTTTGAAGCCTTCATGATTACTCCACTTTCACTAAAAGCGTGTTTTATAGATGAAATTTATGTGACGTAAATAACGAATCGTGATTTTGTTGTCTTCATTAATTACTCAAAAATCATCTCCGGATGTTCTTTGAGGAGTTAATCCAATTTACTTCTTGAAATAAATCTTAATCCAAATTCCATATGATCTAATCACAATCATTCCAAGTAATGAAACATCCCCAAAAGAGTTGTTAATCTTATTGAATGGGAACTACAATCCGTAGTCTAGGTTGGGCTCTTACGCCTCACAAGACCCGTTATAGCCTTAAAAAGATAGGCCACATTTCAGTATAATAAATGTTGACAAGAAGCACCGAATCGACTTTGTTACTAAATTGACGTCCAGTAGGCGAAATTGTGCGTAGTATGCTCAATGTACTTGCGTAAATCGCCAACAGGCTTCGAAGTTTTCGCCGAGGAGGAAGTAACTATGCGCGAAGCCTGCCCGCCCTAACCACTGAACTCAGCAAAGGTGTCTGTGTTAGAAGACGCAGAAGTAGCCTGAAACGAAAGTGAGCTGACACTCTCACCGATTTGAATGTGCAGTTGTTAGCGGATGCTCTTATTTCTAAGGGGACCTAAATTATGCAGATTAAAAGTTAGCCTGAAACGATTTGAGATGACTCAGAAGCTAAGCTTTGAGTGTACTGAATAGTAGTACTCAACCTTTATTACAGTTTACTAAAAGTATTTAGTTACTTCGATTCAGACAGTGGAATTGTTGGATGATACTCTATAGTAGTGTGCCTAGTCATTGAGGATTTTCAAAAAGTACGTTCGACACAGACGGCGGAGAATTGTATGCTCAAGCCACTTCAGAAATAGATTTCCCCGCTGTGATAAATTCGACAAGGGCCACTGGTTTCCATTACACATTTTTGTGGACGAAAACATCGCGTTTACGTTTCGCACTCTTTGCTTTTAATACGCCCTCTTCCTTCCTCCAAAGGAACTTCATTGAACAAATGTGCAAAAACCTAGGAGATTGCTCTAAATGAACTTACCCAAGTGGGACGCATCCGTAACCAGCAGCCTCATGAACACTGAGCTCTCCTTGGTACAACTCATTAGAAAGTGTGCAAATGGATTCGGCTACGAATCGACTCCCACAAAAGATAAAATTCTCTGTTTCTAATGAAACTGGACAGCATAGTTAACCAGAGGGTGATTCAACCGATCTCCAACTGATGCATTGGATGCCACTGTGAAAGGATCGTACGTTTCATATCCGATGAATCATTCCAGTAACGCTTGAGTTTTAATCACCCCATGTTATTTATTGAAGTCCAGTTTTCCGCACTCAAAACATTAGAAAATGAGTAGGGAACGGGAAGCGTAGAAGAGCAAACCAAATACGGTGAGTTACGACAGTGAGAGCATAGCATAAAATGTAGATTGTCACTGTAAATGTACGCGAGTTCAATGTAAGAAACGTGAACAGTAGCAGCAGTAGTAGCAAAGTAGGCGGAATGATTGAGTACGAGTTCGAGTAATATCAATAACAACGGAGGGTAGAGGATGAAAAGAACCTTTAAGCATGCATGGCTGAAAACTTTGCGATCAGACCTCGTGCTTGACCTTGACTGGGCCACTGTTCCGTAGGTTCTGTGGACACCCTAATAAACAGAAAGAGCGCATCACCATTTCACCACCACCTCCTAACCTCCAGTAACAAATTCAGTCACTTCAGACTTTAATGCTCTGTAAACATTTTTTTGGCAATTAAACCCACGATTTTGCAATATTCGATTTTGAGGTCTCAGTTCCCCTTTCCCATGACTTACATACGTAAGCTCAGGCTTTTATGAACTAATTAGACTGAAGAAAGTAAACCCGACACCAAAAGTGTAAAGAGTGACCTCATGGAGTCAATACAAGCAATGCGAAGGCTTACTTAGACTTTGGGGCCTGTTGGTCGTCTGCAGCACTGGCTGAAGTAAAGAAAGATGTGTTATCGAATATACGAAGTTAAATTTATAGAGACTCCTATACTTGCCTGAAAATTTGGCGGCGATGGTTTTCGCCGTGTTGGGCGCATATTGGGGTGAATCGGACAGCGCAGTCTAAAAGTTACAGTAGCAGAATTTCAGACCTTAAAAAGCTTTCCAAGGCGGTGAATAACAGGACTCTAAATAGGAGTTCACCGATAGATGGCAAACTTATGAAAAGAAAAGTGTAAACGAACTGCACCCATTCGCTAATTAAACAGCCCACAAAACGTCTCAATTGGCATTTGTAGATGTGTCAGACGCCTTATAAGCCTTTGTAACGCTCTGTACTTAACAAAATTTACAAGTTTGAGACGACAGAAACATCTGGGACAAAAGGAATTGCAATGAGTGGGAGCACACCTTCCTGAAACGCCTGTTTCTCGAGCTTAAAAAAGCAGGACTTAGACGCGTGCGCGCGAGCCTAACACACCCTAGGTCATTGCCTCAACCAATCAGAGGACCAATCGATGAAGCTCCTTGCTTGTGCGTCTGGCCACGGAGAGAACAGCCATGCGTCATCCTCTGAGAGAACGCGCTACGTCCCCACTAGTAGTACATCAACCCCGATCAATCGAAGCCCATATGTGGATACGCAAAGCCTAAAGCTTCTCTTATCTGGTGAATATGATTCTATTCATGTAAAGGAGGGAATATAGGCAGTAGATAAACTGTATCACTGACTTTTGCATCTTGCGGCAACTACCACATCTTCGAGATAACAAAAGCGGCAGACTATGGAAATGTTTTTCACGGTCTGCTACACTGGGTAAGATCAAAATTACTATACTTCGATAACAAAACAGTACAAATCCTTGAATTTCCTATATGTACTTACATTGGTGAAACTTTGATTCGCTTTAAGGGCTTCGATGTTGCTCCACTGCTCCACCAAGCGCCTTGCCGAACCCATTGGCGGTAAAACGTCGCCTGAGCGCGGAGGTGAGCCGCGATGTAAGGCCTAGCAAACACCGAAAATTGTGAGCAAATGGGGTGTTTTGAAGTGAGTTAAGTTTGATAAAATGAGCCACGATGAGCACGAGGTGAAGGAGTTGGATGCAACCGAGACATCCAGCTTTGTGAGGATTCGCTTATGCTTATTGCGCTTAAATCCAAACAAGCGATTTAATGCAGAATGATAATAGCAAAACCAAATTATGCGAATGTGAGAAATACACATTTCCCAGCGATACCATGAACTCATTTGAGAATTGCATCGTCCTCTGAAAGCAAAAAATGCGTAAGTCAAAGCACTCGCAAGTAGATGCTGGTTTCACCAATATTCACTGGTAACTCCTGCCTCGTCGAATGATCGTGCTATCTATGAATCAACCGATGTAATACGGAAATGCTTCCATTTCAAGCAGAGGTCTTCAGCTATCGCGCATAGCTAAACACCTCTCCTGATCGCTAGGCTCACTTTTGCAAACAAATTGATCGTAAAAGTCAACATACAGTTAAAACCAACAGATCTTCAGTGCAGTTCAACAATTAAGGTAGCCAGCTCTGTCGAGGAAGCATATGCCCAAACCAGGTCATTCGAAGTCAAAAGATTTGAAACAATACCAGTTGATGACAATAAGTCAACAATGAGGTAGTTGAACCATTAAAATTGCACAAAACAATGCGCTTAAACAATAGACCTGGTCATTCCTGATCTTCATTTCCTTTGGTAGCGAGAGCGATTCAGACGAGACCTCACCATCGTCTTGTTCCATTACAGACAAGTTTTCCTCTTTCGCTGAAGCCAAAAAGAAGAGTATCAACAAATACTTGTTTAGGGTTTGTTTTGATCGTAAGACACAATTATTCCTTGAGTCAATAATACGTCCAGTCCTCCAAGCAAAAAACTCGAATTGGTTAGCATTCGAACCCGGGAATATTAGCACACCTACCAATGGATGGTGACCAAACGAGAGGAATCCAGCCACCTTGACATGAATATTCAAAGTGCTTTAAATAGAATCTGTGGTCGCGTGTTTTATGCTACTTTCGGTCTTATGATCCAGCTGAACTGCCAGAGCCAAACCATAACATGAAACACTGAACAATTGCAGCTTCTTGCAATTGTTTTATGAATTGATTTGTTAATGTGGGAAGCGAAGGAGTTAAAGCTTCGGTCCTTCATAGTATGACCACTTTCATAGTAGCTGCAGCATCTATGTCGAGGAATTTAATCCTGCTGATGACTATTTATGGGGATTTCCCGGTTTCACAATGCACAGTGAATCAATTTCCGTGAATTAAGTAAAACTGATTAATCCAAGCAATTAACATCAATAAGCCGATATCTAAAGGAGCTCTGTGTTCAAGATGTTGGAAAGTAGTTCTAGTATTTTTGTATTTGACGACGGCACTGTGATCTTGCTAGCACCCGAAATTGGCTGGGCACAGCCAAGAAGCCAAACCAATCTGGCTATTGTCTCTCACGAAACTGATAAGTAGCGTTCAAGTTTGTATTCCAGGAGTCGGTCTAGATCGCATGGAATCAATATGTACTGAAGAATAAAATTAGCAAGTACGGAGAGAATGCCGACTCTTTTATGAGGAACACCACTTCACCAATCAAATGAAACGCTGTTACGAGGATACTTTCTTATATTATGCTTAAGTGTGTCTCTGCATGCGGTTCACCATATCCTATCCAGTAGACACCAGCTAGTATCTAAAAAATCGCAAGACAATACGAATTAATTGGTTCGGCGATGCACAGAGGTTTTTAATTTCGCTTTAATCACTGTGGGTAAAACAGAAGTTCAAAAAATTGAAGAGCAAAGCTATGGTATATTAATTGGCTGGCTCAAGAGACACTGGATAATTTCTTAAAATTGCAAGCGAAAGGAGAGATATTTAACGTCTTTTCATGCCCTCTGCTTTCCCAAGCTAAATGGCCACGTAAATGAAAACGCAAAAATAAGTAAGCGCATAGACAGGTGAGAAAACAATCCCTAAATGGAGCATCGGCTTAGGCTTGGCCACCTTTAGGAAACAAAAACAATCTAGAATACCCTAATATGTTAATAAGCATACCAGTATCGCCGGAAGAGAGAAATTCCGAGTGATTTTTGCAATATGGTGCACCGTTGACAAGTAAAAATTCTTCTCTACAATATCATTAAAAGTTCATTAGGTCCTTCACCTACCACACTCGAGGTATTGCCCCGTAGTCGCGACAAACGAGATGGCACTTCAAGCCCCAAAGGTAGACACTTCCTTTACGAACCCTAAAATATCACTTTATCTCTAACATGATGGAATGTCATGCCAACAGGGAGAGAGGAAAATGGAAAACCGTATCCCACCACATTTGGCGCTGGACCAATAGCAATGCGCAGCTGATGCTCCCGGTCCGACCCTAAAAAGCCGTGCGTGTCGCTAGCCTTGCTACTACTCAGATGCTTCAACATACGCAGAGGGAGACTTGCTCAATCTTACTGACTTCTAACAGCGTTGTGAAGATACCTGTAAAGGTTGCAAATGGCTACAAATGTTTCTGACGCTTGAGGATTTATACACACACTCCATGCAGATATAAGTTATTTGTTTCTCTTTTAAAAGCTGACTTTAGCATCGCATACGTCTCTAGTTCAACAGCTCCTTGTTCGTTACAAAATAGACCATGATGTCCGACTATCGGTTACTACTAAATAAGGCAAAGAGAAACAGACATTAGTTCCGAGCAAATGTACCAATCTTTGCTACTAAAAAGTAGCCTGGGAAGCAGCAGTTGACTAATGATGGCTCAGCGCTGCAAACCGTGAGTCAGCGAAATGAAACAGCAAGGGAACTGCAGTACTTACGTAAGAATGCAGTCGCAACGCGCGCATCGGAAGCAATTTACATGAAAGTGTGGACATGCAGCGTTGACTTTCTCATCGGAATTAATTAAGTCACCACATTTGAGGCACCTGTCGCATGGCAGCTAAAGCAAAGAAAAATACGATTTTACTTTAGAAAGCAGTCAGCCATTGTTAGGAATTCTGTAAAGCTCGTCAAAAGCGTACATCCAAAAGGCTGCCTTCGCCACTACTTTCCTATACATAGCCTCACTTGGCTTGTACTACTGGCCGAGATAACAACCCACTTCCTTATCAGTGCTACTGGTATTGCTGCGAAAATTAATCGTTCGTATTTCATATGTACATGTGAGATCTGAACAGCGTAACCCCCTAGAGCCACAAGTACTTTAGAAGACTCAATTAGAGAAGGGAACCATGATTTGATAGCAATCAGTTGATAACCCACACATTCAGCTGACTTTTCTGCAGGCACATCACCAGTTGAAAGAGCGAGCTGATCCTCCTCAACACTGTCGCTCTCTGTTCGTGCCTCCGTGTCCCCTACCTGAATCAAAGAGAGTGGCGAGTACTATCAGTAATAAGCACCTGGCCAGGCACAAAGGCCTGCATATCAACCTTTTATCATTCTAATTAGTTTACGTTAAATTACTTGGCAGCACAAATCACAATGCACACATACAGAGAGGAAGTTTTAACTGTAACGTACAGACGATGAAGGTGTTCCATTCATTTTCCTTGGTTCCTCATAGTCACTCTCCTCTTCACTCTCCGCAGATGATGACCCGATGCTGTTTGACTAAAAATGAAACCGAAATCAGACTTTGGCTAGTGTCAATTTCCATCCTTTTTCAAGCTAAAGGCGGAACAAACATTCAGTGTTAGAGCAGGGTTTAGACCACAAGAGTTACGATTGTAGGACAAGACCAAATAGGCAGTCACTAAAATGATCAAGACCGATTTACTCTTTGCTAATAGCAACTTAATGCAAAGGGCACTAGAAACTACAAATGCATCATGGCAGAACGCGTTAAAAGTAGTGCAAGCTTCCGACCGTGTAAAATACGGAATCCCAGCCCAAGTTCGTCAACTAAAACCTCATGTTTCGCTAAAAACCCAAACGCCTGATCATTTGAGGCACTTCTTTTAAGTGAACCGTAGTTGTTGATATGAAGCTGACAATGGGAATAAAGTCGTCCAAAGTCATTTCGATCTAAAAATGATATCACTGGGCATTGAATGGCGACTGATGTCTGTTGGCGTAAGAAGGTCAAAGAGTACCATCACGACAATGAGCGACTTGAGATAGAGGAGCAGCATCGGAGACCTTTACTTCTGAACCAAGTAACAAAGGTTTGAGCTCAAAGAAAATCAAGCTATATATAGCTATCATCGTCTGGAACCATACTGAATGCTAGAGGTTGTGATTGAGACCAAAGGACCAAATACGACCTGATTAAGCACTTTTAAGACCTACTTGGCTAATTAGGGAGACAAATGCAAGGAGTAGACGCAAGTTGGGAAAAGTCTCGGACTGTAATCACATCCAAAATGATTGTGAAACGCATTTCTCTTCCTAGGCAAACCAGTGAAATTTGAATTTCCCTCAGTATTTAATGCTATTCTCAGGATTTCACTGGCAGCAGCTAAAATCAGTAGCTGCATTCGACAAACCATTTTTTAGCGCCTGGTTTCACCATAGACTCGTTTATCACGCCGCTAATGCCGACACCAGGATGGCCAATCATGCGAAGCTAGTACAGGCGAACTGTCAATGGAGGCTACAATACAAAGAAAACCCCAATGAGTCATGCCTAGTCACAGAGACGGTACTGAACAGACGGGTGTGGGCAGTGGGTGGTGCGTCTTGAATGTGGAACACTGTTGTCCCAAGAACGGCTCTTCCGATGGCGAAGATAAGCCAAATACATTAGTTACATGTACCACAACAAAATAGAATGTTTGCGTTTTTAACCGCCTTCATTTTTTTCTAGTAATTGAGCATCATAAGGGGTCGCTTTAAATGAGTTATATGTAAAACTTGTAATCTCTTTTATGATGACGAAAAGAAATCGGAGAAACTAATATATTATGAATAAAAAGAACAAAAGTCAAATACAATTTGATCCAGGATTTGCTGATTTGCGCATGGCTGCGTCATTTATTCCGCAAGTAGTCTAGTCTGTATTGTTTTAGCCTTATTAAAGCACCAACAACGTTGAAATAAGTCAAACTTTACTAGCTTTTAACTAAAAGGTTGAAGCCAGCAATGGTTCCAGACAGAAACATAGCATAAGTCGAAGCAAGCACTGGTTGCAGCAAAAATACCATCTTCAAGTCACTATCAGATGGGCACGCACCTACGTGTGCGCTTGCCCGCTGTACCAATCTCAAGGGCGGTTGGAGGGGCAACCGACGGCCGCTCATGCCTCGCGCATCAAAGTGACTCAGAAGCACGTCAACAAGGGCAAAAGTAGACGCCCAAAAGGGCAGTCTAGGATGAACTAAATAGAGCTGCAAATCAAAGACTAATCGTACATTTTGACCTGGGTGAATTGCGGCCGTTGATCAAGACAAATGTTATTAGGATAGAGTTTCCAGTTGCAAGCGGGGAATCAGACAGATTAAAACTGGTGCATAAAAGTTGTGACGTAGAACGAAAACGAGTTGTTTAACTGTTGGCGTTTATGGCAAAGAAATTAATGTGTGGATAGAATGAATGTAAGAACGCTGCATCGCACCTCACCGACGGCTGCAACTCGACTGGAAATGGCGAAATCGTCCTCTGTAAAAGACGTGGAATGCCTCACGTGGTCCTCCTCCACGAGTACTCCACCCTCCTCTTCAGTATCATTGCTATCCGCTAAATGCCAGTGCATCCATTACTTACACGACAAAATGGCTTCACCATAAGCCAAGCACATTCTTATACCTCACTGCTTGAGGTTTAAAGACAGTGCTCAGGTTAAGGCTTTAATGTATAGGTTGTAGTGAAAAATAGGATCATAAACTACGGCACTTTATGAGTCAGTGCTAAAAAGGACATTACGCACGATCAGGCTGTTTGACGAAATACAAAGATAATTAAACGCTGGATTTGGAAGAAAACTCACGTTCATTAAGACTTGTTCCAGAGTGAATCGGATCAATGCACGGAATCTCGCAACACTAAAAAAAAGCGCTCCGACATCAAATGTGACCAAAATGACATGGGATGGATATACCTCCTATGTACCTCCGATTCACTCACCGGTTCTGAGTGATCAGGGGAACCATCCGAATTCGTGTTGTAAGTCTGCCAAAAAAAGAGTCAAGAAAAGTGTGAGCAGGCAGGAAAGAAATTCAAAAGCACAACAACTACAATACACAAATGATCAAAAACAAGCATGGGAACAAAGCATTACGAGCCAACGCTAGTGGCTTAAATACAAAAAAACAGCCAAAAACAATTACTAACAATAATTAAAGAAATTCCGTTAAGATTTTTATCACTCCAAGGAATTAAAGTTCGAGACGTTACTACTTAAGGATGGAGCAAGCCACGAAGCAGTAAGCGACTGCGGCATACCAAAGTACCAAACAATGTCTTAGTCGCGAGCAGATGACAAAAATTCCAGCAGTGTACTCACAAAATTCTTGTCCAATTCTTTAGCAAACTGATCCATATCGTGGAAATACTAAAAGCAAAAACATTGCGTTTAATGGTGGTACTGAAGGAGTTAGCGGATGATAATTAGTGCCAAGCAAAGCATAGTGTAAAAAAATCAACAATGAGCAAAATCTAAGAAGGATCACAAAAATACATCCCGCTAAAACAACAAAATCTACAAGAAACTTCAATGAGTCAAGAAAGCCATCAAATCGGCACCAACAACAAAGAGTACACTAGCCACATGGCTTTAGGAGCTGAGAAATACAACAATGTCAGTGTACGGCACGGAAATTACAGCCAAAAATAATACTAACTTTCGGCAAAAACAGAGGAGGAAAACAAAGCACTGACACGCGAGAAAAGGAGACAATATTCAAGCCCGCACCAGCAAAGAGAAAGTGGGGTCACCCTGATCTCAGTGTTTCGACCAATAGACTAACAATATTGACAAATCCTAACAAGCAAGTACAAAGAAAATATTTAAATTGTTTTGTAAATAACTTATGCGCTAATGCAAGACTATACAAAAGTACTCTGTGTTTACAAAAGGTCTCGCAAACTTTTAAATTTATAAAAGGACAAACAAAACAGCAGCAAATACAGAGCGCATGGCAGACAAATGTATTGCTCAAATTGATTAAATATGAAGACTGTCAGCTAAACCTGCTGTAATATTATGCGTCTTGAGACCTCCTGACCAGTATAAGTCAGCAAGTGTAGTTGGATACATGTATTCCGAAGACATCAGGGCACGTATACAGGGGCCAGACAACTTCTATAGTGACTGCCAAACGTCCAATAGTCTATTGAGCGACCTCCTCAGCGCCCTTCTTTGGTACAACTCCCGCGCCAGCCATCACAATATGTTTGTTACTACAAGAAAGCACCCACGAGCCAACCGCGCCAGTCGACAAACAACACAACACTGAGAAACCGTACCTGGTCTTCTCCGCAGCTTCAACTACAGCTGGACTAACGTTCGGTCTGACAACCAGATTCGAGACCGCATACACATCTTGATCATCAATTGCTTCCAGGGATAGACGGTGCAACTCTGGTCTAA